GTTCATCCTCCCCTGGGCGCAGTTGGGCAGCAGCGAAGGCCCCCGTCGCATTAACCGGGATCAGTATAGAGACCGGCACCATTCAGCTGGGAACCCGCCCGATCGAATCTTGGGACTGAGTTGAGGAACGGACGGACGATAAGAGTCGGCCGAACGCACTAGAAAACCCATGGCTCGCAGGCTGTGTACCAGATTCTGCAGGAGCGAGCCTGGGAAGTGTGGGAGGCCAAAGCCCGGCGCGTACGTACGTCCGTATGGCAGACAGGCTGTGGTCCTGGCCCAGCGTACCTGAGTTGCGAAGGGCCAGGCCGGGATGATTGGGCTGCGCGGGTGACGAAGGTGGGTTCACGGTTCACACGGGCACGCTGGGTGGCCATCCACCTGGTGGTCTGTGTGCGCTGCTTTTAATTAACGGAGGGCTGCCAACTGCCGGCGGATTCAGATGTCACCTAGTGGTTCTATTTCCATGGAGGGCTGAGTTTAATTACTCCGGTAGCTTCTGACCTCATCCATCATCATATCCCTTCATCCTTAATAAGCGGGATTGCCGAAGGATGTTGAACGGCTCTCAAAATTGGACTTCAATGAACCTCGGAGCCTAACCTGAGTGAGGAGTGAGTAACCGTAGCAAGGAAACTCTGCAGGAGCTCGGACGGGGAAACTTAGGCTCAAGTGCTCCCCGGCATCCATGGTTCTCGCTGAATCCCACCCAACCAACTCACCCAGCCCAGCTCTAATTTTTCCACGCTATCCCTGGGATCGGCAAAGGGTCTCTGATCCTCAAATCCTGAAGAACTCGGAGTTGCGTCTCAAGAGGTACTAGTTTGGATCCCAACGGGACTGCAACCCAACCAGCAGAAAGGGCAGAAGGCAGATGCGTTTTCTAATGGGACCAAGGCTGCAAGGGACGAGTGGCTTTCGGAGCGCTAAGCATCGACCGCTACGACATACGGAGTCTAGTATCGCCCGCCCACCAATGTCCATACAGATAGATACTCGCAGCAGTACAACCTCACAACATTCCGCCTCATTCAGTACATACATACATACATACATACATACTAGCACCCACCCTGCAGACCAGGACATGGATTCCCCATCTCCACAACAACAACACCTTTTTAGTCTCTACATCAACTATCCACCTATCTAAGCCCAACCTATTCTCCAAACCCGATCCTGCAAGTCTGCACCTCATCCAAGAAATCTCTCCCCACCCTTGCATACCGATACCAGGTATCCAACTTCCAAACAACCCAGTCCATCGCAGCAGTCCGATCCCTAACTGGGCCCCGTCCAGCCCCATCCGCATAAGGTTATTACAAGTAGTTCGTGTATGCCAGCGCATCTACACATCCGCCAACTTTGTAAGCAGCTGAAGCACCGCCACACCTGAAATAAGATTTCCACAGGAGCCGATAGAAGATTATCGTTTTGCTAGTGGCAACGCTGCTGTTGCTTAGCTGGATAAGCGCGTTGGCGCGGATCATATTCGCCACTTTGGTGGATAAGGTAGGTAAGTAAGCTCATGCTGGAGCTGGGTGATCAGTCGAACAGCTGAAACGTTACACATTAAATGCCAAACAAATGACAAGACAAGACAAGATGATTGTAGCCATGTAGATAATTAACCAGAAGCAGATCTGTAACTCAATATGTAAGTATGTACTTTACGCACAGCGAATACCTCGCCCCCATCCCGCCTCCATATAGTCCCCATCCCAAAGTACCAGCCCACAAAACCCCCTCAACCATAATCTGACGAATCCAGGCACCTAATACTACCTATCACCACCCCCAACTCCCCCTCGTGCAGACGTCAACCTCACACCTACATACATAGTCACACCTATCACCCCCCCAATCTGATATATCACGTCTAACATCCAGAAAACGTCACGCCTGCATGGCATATCACCCACCCACCCCTCCCGCACATCAGATCCGATCAGCCCACCGGGCCACTAACTCTGACTCTGTCCCGCGAAATGGAGACGATCGATCTACATATCGCTGATCAGGGGGCATGGATGCACTGCAGGGTTATTAAGTACCGTCGGGTCTGATTCCCCGTCCGGATCCTGGTCTGGATAGTGGATACTAGATAAGTACGTACATAGTACTTAGTATTAGTATTATGTAGAGTGGACGGAAGTACTGGTCCAGACCTGGCGGGGAGAATCGACTCGTCAGATAGGAAGTGACTGGTGGTCACTGTGGATGGAATTGTACGTAATCTACTCCGTACTTGATCTTGGTGCGGGGTATGTAACCTAACTCCTCTGTGGGATTGGATACATCTACTATCTACTTATTGATCGGTGGGTAGGATAGGATGATGGTATATCTGTGAGAGAGTGATGTGTGCATGCTATTGGGTCGATCGGGATTGCTAAGGTTGGGAGTGATGGTAAATCGCGCAGTGGGACTGGATCTGCTGTCGTCGTGGGGTTGAGACATTGTCTCGAATCTCACGCTAGGTGTCATTTGACGCCGGGTAGGAACAATGGGGTTGCCTATGGCCTCCCCGAGTGGCTTACAGTCTCGATATGAAAATAATCATCGTATTAACAGCTGCGCTACCGAAATGTTATCAAACAAAGTTAGACGCCTCCCCCATACCCACTCGGCCGGCCCTCCAGACTTTTTGTGCAAAGCACATGCACCACATCCAATCCCCTATGGTCAAAATGGGTATAGATACTCAGATCATAGACAGTTAATGCAAGACGCCTCTAATGCCGGAAGAAACGGATAGAAGAAACAATGAAACTCCAAGCGCCGTAATCACTGGAAACGCACGGGAAAGCTGGAGAACAATATCCAGGACGTGGAAGATCGGGAGGAGTAGTAGAGTCGGAGGTTGCAAGGAAAGGGGAATAAGCAGAAATATAGAACTTAGATCTGTCCCTTGATATCGACAATCCGGTGGGCCTCGGCCTTGGCTCCTTCGAACAGTTGGCCGGCCTTACCGCCCGTAAGCAGCCTCACTACCCCATCTTTCTCCTGGAGGAGGTCCTCCGAAGTATGGTCCAGAATGAAGCGTGCGCTCTGCTCGTCGGACTCGAAACCAAGTTCTTCAGTTATGAAACGGATCTTTACATCGGGTTTGTATCTGGATCCAAAAGATCAGCCAGCAGTCCCATATATGGATTTGGAGAGCAACTCACGCTTTACAAATTGCTGCAAGTGCAGAAAGTCGCTCACGGTCCACGAACATATCCATTAGATACGCTCCCATGTTGGGAGTATCGAGATAAAGCTGGAAGAAACGGTGATAGTTTCCAAGAGCAAGAGCGGAACGAACATCCAAAGCATGTTTCACAGCAAAATCCCGTTTGTCTGCTGCGGTTAGATCGGCCAACGCATCGTTCATGGCCGTCCAGTTGCGGGTGTGGATGAAATAGAGGATGCGATACGCCCGGAATTCCGTAGGATGGCCACCAAGTTGCTGTGCGTACAACGCTCGGAGTTGAGTCTGGCACTGATTATACTCACCAAGGTCACCTTTTTCTAGGGCAATCCGGGCATGAATCTCATAGACGCTAACAGTAAACTCGTTCCTGATATGCTGCACCGTCAAGTCTTGGCGCAAGGACTTAAACTGATCACAGATATAACCGTAATTGTTGTCCTTCTTCCATTTCTTCTTCAACAGGTCCAACGTCTTCATCAAAACCGGCAAAGGACGGACGGTATCCGGATTCGGTGCGGATGTCAAGCGGAAGTAATTCTTCTCGAGTTCCTGGCACCTTCCAACAACGGGACCTTGATTTGCACTGGGGGCTGGTGATTCACCGCGGGACGAGGGTGAAGATCCAGAGCGCGCTTGTGGCTCCTCGAAACGCTTTCTCCGCATCTCCAGATTAGCTTTAGACTTACTTGGGTTCTTCATATCAATCTTCTGCCGCTTGTCTGTGGAAGGATAAGTGACACGGTCTTCAAAGGCATTCTGGTTGTTAGTTTGTCTCCAGGGCGGACAGCTGTTTGCGTCTCCATGGTACTCGACCGACTTCCTCTTCTTCGATGGGTCTTCCGAGAGGCCGTTAGACTTCTTCGGCGAAACTGTTCCGAATGCACCCCATGTCGAGACGTTTGGGCTCGCCAAGACTCTGTTGCGGTCATTTTGAACCATGACCTGTGGCAGAGGCAAGGTCTCCCAGTCGATCTTATTGAGCATATTACCCTCGGCTGCCTCTGTAATGACCGACTTCAGTTTCGCCTCCATCTCGCTTCGTTCCACCCCGGGGATTCGATGTTCGGGTGCGAAGCTGCGTTGCACATACGAGCGAACCGCGTCTGGAAATTCTACTCGTTTGCGGGCGGCGGTCTCGGTAGACGTCGATGATGTGGAGGATGAAGGAACAGGGTTCGTCGCCTTTGCAGGCGTGAGACTACGGCGTGCTTGAACTGGGATATACGCGGGGACCACTACGTTCATGTTAGCATCGATGTGGACAAGATCATCCGCGGAGCGACAAGCATACCATGGCCAGAATGAAGTGAGGTGGTAGCGGTGGCCGACGCCGAGACCCGCCAGGGGGGGATGCCAGAACTCATCTTGAAGGGTGATCTAGATGGATAGCCAGCACAAGAGGGAATGAGAAAGAATGAGAAGAGTGATGATGGTCACAAACGAAAGGTATGAACTACGGGTGGCTTGATTTCGAGTGAGACAGTCAAAACATCCTTCCTACATCAACAGAGTGGAGTAGGTATCACTGATATGACAGAGAAATATGGAACGATCTGCTTCTAACGAAAAAGTGACAACGCAAGACAAGTATCCACAGGGCTTTGTTGGACTCTAGAGAGGGAGTAAAGATAAGTGACCTGAGAGAAGGAGACTCGCTTCCTGGGCGCTCGTTTCCCACTTGGCTGGGTGGCGGAGATTTTCTCTTGGCACCCCGGCCCCGGAGACCGCCTGCCCCATCGAGAGACATTACATCAGCACGCCGATCTGACTGATAACGAGCAATACAAGCAGCGCCAAGGCAGATATCTATCTTGCCTTCGTCTTTCTACTCGGCCCCTCTTCACACTCTCCCTGGTGAAGAGATGTCCCTTGGCTTGACTAGATGTTTTTCAAGCCTCTAGACCTGACAACTGCGCTTCGCCCCTCGCTGTTGCCCGATGAGACCTTACTCTTTGTCCAGGATGCGGTGGGGTTGTACGAAGGGTGAGTCGCCGGTGTGTTGCTTCAACTGCTCCGTTGGTGTCGCAATGCTGGGGTCAATTCCGCTTACCCTGGAAATTGCAGCCCTGGTGGCTTGCTGGACCATCTTATCATGCTGACCAGCAATGTCTCCGGACGGCCAGAAAATACAAGATCCCCAATTATCAGAACGGTCATGCCTATCTGACCTCTCATCGAATCTGTTACGTAGCAGTGGATGAGCCCCGGAAATACGCAGTCGCCATTGACTTGAAAGATATCGATAGGGCGGATTATCAAGTATGTGTTAATTCGAATATGCAGTCCGGCTTAATGTCTTATCTGTTCTAGGCAGGTTTCTGGAAGTCGTCTCCAAAGATCACGGTATATCCAAAGCCGCTCAAGAGCACCCTCGATAGGTCAAAAAGCGCTGGCGCAAGTCCCTCTCGATCGCAATCTCCTTTCACCCCAACCCCTGTGCCGCATTTCAATGCTGCGCCTTCTCAGCCTATCAATGCAACCTGGATCTGTCCTATATGCTCATTTTCCAATCCCGTGCCCTCCAATTTCGACCCTTCCACCGCCACTGCGTCCACACCTATACCACCTTGTCTAGCCTGTGGCATCAAGCCCCCTTTTGCAACGATTCTGAAGGCTGCGATCACAGCTGCCTCCAGTCGTGATAGTTCTTTGACAAACCCGACTATCTTTAAACCCGGGCATGAACCAGCACCCCAGAGTGATGACTCCAAGAGTGTGTCGACTCCGCACAATGGCGCCCAGGTATCATGTCCTCGCTGTACATTTGTCAACCATCCTTACCTCATAGAATGTGAAATATGCGGTGCCTCCTTGGTGTCTGCAAATGTGCTCAGGGCCTCAGAGGGCGCTCATTACCGTGCAGAATCCCCGGCGCCTGTTTTTGACCAAGGCAGTATAAAGAGCACTCAGATCAAGGATAGCATGAAATTATCCTTCCGTGCAGGCGGGGAAAAGATATTCCATGAAAGACTGAAGGGAGCCTTGATCCAGAGGAAATGGCTTCTCTACAATGCGCCGCCCGTGCCACAGCAACCATCACAAACAAGCACCAACTCGCCAGGCTTAACCGTGTCTACTCCTACCAATGGCCCTGTAGCACCCCCATCCCGCTCACCTGGGGTCGGTATTGCCGGCCTTGAGCGCCGAGGCCTCGAGGCTCGTAAGAACAACGAGCTTGTCATTGGTAATGCGTTCGAGGACCTTGAAGCGCTTATGGCATCTGCCAAACAAATCGTTGCGCTTGCTGAGACACTAGGTCGAGAATCAGGGATGACTAGTGATGGAAGCTCTGCAGAAACTAGCGCAGTTCTTTCGGAATCGGCTGCAGCGTTAGGCATGGTGACGACGAAGGATATGCTTGGTTCTGGGGCTGAGAGCTTATATCTGTCGGAACTATCCCGGAATCTGGCAGAGTATCTTACCGATGATCGCAAGGGGATTTTGCAGCGGGAGGGCGGCATTATCAGCCTAATTGACCTTTGGGCAATCTTTAATCGGTCTCGAAATGGAGTCGAACTTGTCAGTCCTTCGGACTTCCAAAAGGCTGCGGAGCTATGGGAAAAGCTAAAGTTGCCCGTTCGTTTACGCCGATTTAAGAGTGGGCTGCTCGTCGTCCAGCGGTATGACTGGACCGATGAGAAGACCCTTCGGCAATTGTTAGACTGGATGGTAGAGCTCCGGCAGACGCCACCAACCGAACCGGTGGCCTGGGACTGGCGTTTGTTTGGACGTGCTGTAACGGCGCAGGAGGCAGCACAGCGATTCAAATGGAGTGTTGGTGTTGCAGCGGAGGAATTAGAAATGGCAGAGGACAAGGGGATTCTGTGCAGAGAGCAGGGCATTGAAGGACTGAGATTCTGGTTTAACTACATTACATCTAACCCAGACGCGCAGGATGTTGATGATCTAGGTCTGTCAGGGATAAGCATAGATGATAGTGGTATATAGAGTCGACGAACATGTTGAATAGGAACGCCACGCCAATATTTAGAGTACTTCAAGTATCTGCCGAGGTACTTTATATAAGCGCCTGGGTGGATGACTGAGGCGCCCCACCAGGCGACAACCCCGCGTTGAACCCATGATTGGCTTATCGGGAGCTCTCTCCGCCTGCCGGGCTTATCAGCGTAATCAGCCGTCAGCCTGCCAACTCCCTTCCAGTTGAACTTCCGGTGTAACTCTCGTACTTCGTCCATCGGCATTCCAGCTCTCCTTCCTTCAGTAGCTCTCTCAATTCTCTATCGGTCGATTATTCTATTCTCTGGCTTGTCGTCCTTCAACGGCCATTCGCACTGCTGACCCATTCCTGTGATGTAACCGAAGACAGCTCTCTGGCTGTCCGAATCCGGTCTAACATTATCGGAGAGCTGTCATTCCCTCATTTCTCCTTCTTAGTCTACGTAACTTGTATCAGTGAAGCCTCTGGAAACTTGGCCATGATCTATCCGGTTGCAGTATCAAATGTCAGGGCAGTCAGGTGGTCCACGACCGTGACAGGAGGCCGTCCTCGAGCCATCCAGTTCGCATCGTCCCGACTCCTACAGTCTTCCTTGCAGCGCCGTCAGCTATGGCGATGTACAGACCAGAGATACAACTACGACTACCTAGCAAAGCAGATGGACAAGCAAAGGCGACTTTGCATGTCAAAGCTCCGCGACGTGCCGGCTCGACATCCGCGGAAAGCGCACATGTACGAAAGGCATCATCTGTGGCGCAATCGAGATTGCGGATCAGGCTATCGCAAAGATAATCCCTCCAGATTCGAAAAGGATAGGGAGCATAAACATGATTTCTGGGAAGCCGAAAGGGCGCGCGCCAAGCAGAGGATGGAGCAGATGAGGAGCGAGATCGAGAAGGATCCTTATGCAGCATTGTTTGGAAGGAGACTAGAGCCGTTTAGGTCTTTTGAGAGACTTGAAAACACCTTCACCTCCCTCTGCCGTTCTCTTTTAGGTCTTGACAAACCCTCAAACACAATTAACACGACAGCACGTCCGAAGACATCCGCAGCCGCCTCGAAGGACGCTCCAGATGTTGGCAAGGAGGCAAAGTCGAATATAAGCCGTGGGTCTCAATCTTCAACCGGTGTCTCCTCTGGAGCAGGTAAATCAAGCTACGAATTTGACCCTATCAGTGGCCGTATGGTGCCAAAGCCTTCCGCACAAACCACTCCGGCAGGGAAGGGTACTCGCGGCAACGGCCATACCGCATCAGTGGATACTCCACACTCTCATTTCGAACGTACGGGCTATATGTCTGCGATTAACCGATCAGCTGAAGGACCTCAGTCGAGAAAAGTCTCAAAAAGTTCACAGACGGAAAGTAACTTGCAACGAAATGTGCCTGTGGCACCAGTGGCGGATGAAACCATCCAAGCTCAGGAGCTGCAAGATTCAAGATTGTCAAAGCGCACTCAAAACAGAGCCTCATGGACTTTGGCAACTCCTCGGGGACCCCCAAAGGATATCTTAGAAGAGTCCGGTAGTCCCTCGGGAACAATCATAGCCGGACCACCCAAAGCTCAGGACAAAATGGGACCAAATGATGCCATAAATGGCGGCGGAACCACCTATGAGCATCTGGAAATGCCACTCAACAATTACCTCTTTCGGGACCAAGAAGGTGGTGAGCGCTTAACCAAATCTTCTGCCCCAAAAGGCATCCTGGACTCGACTCAAGAACAGGATAGGATGCGAGCCGAGAAGGAGGATGATTTGGACCTCCTGAGCGCTAGTGATATCCGTTCTCACTACTACATGGATAATTTTGAACCGCATCCTGACACGAAGAAGCAAACTCGCAAAAGTATGGACGACAAGTTCGATTCATTTGTCGATCCTGCAGGTGACATTGACGCTCAAAGTGTCCGAAGCAAGTTTCAAGCCCATGGGGCCGTGGGTGCGATTGACGAGGCCACAAAGCCAACTAAAACAGATACTAGGGTACAGCCCGATTCTCAAGATGTGAAACCCCTAGGAACTTCCCAAGCAGTTATCCAGAATGACGAGCATCAAGCTACTCAACACTCTGATCACACTACTAATACTCCGCAGCCGCTTCCTGACAGTTCAGCAATTGAAACCTATCGAGTTCTTGCTTATGACCCCTCAACTCTTCAAGTGACTGAAGCGGATACGAGCTCATCCTTCCATACCTCGAACAAACCCATTCATCCTACAAGGGTCCTGAGTCGCTTAAATGCCCCAGCCAAATTCCTGCCCTATTTTGCGAAAATGCATGCCGATGGTTATGAGATCGTGTACGGTGGCGGAGATCTCCTTGTGTTCAGGAAAACCAGCGGTTCTCTGTATAAGGAGGATGGCCTCTCACCTAAGACTGCACGGAAAGTCGAGGCCAACCTCAAGAGCCAGGGCAATGAGGCCTCGAGGCAAAGTATATCGCCCAGCAAGCTGCCACTGGCGCAAGGCAGCGCCAGTGCTGAGCACTCTTCCAGCCAAGCACCCCAGCATCAGCCTGTATTGCCCGATGACAGTGCTTCGCAGGGCCAAAGCTCTTCTTCGAAGAACGCATCCAGACTTGGCCAAGCTGTACGCAGGATGTTCATCGGCGGTGTAGCCACTGCTGGGACATGCTATGCCATTGGTGTCGTTGTCGAGTACTTCCGCACCGGCGGACAGGATGGGCGAGGTATCGATGCTTTCACGGCCTTCGAGTCGGAAAGACGGCACGGGGATTGAGCTTTCATTTCTGCCTAATTTGTATGACTATTCCTACGAGGATCTACCGTGTCAGTTTGGATACGATATGTAAGACTCCATCTCCTCTCCGTAGCAGAAATCACAATCTTCCTTTCAAATTAAGATACATTATCTGTTCCGTCCAGTTCATTTTTTCATCCTAACTACACCATTTCCATTCTCAAATAGGAATATTTCTCACAAACACCCATCAACTGCAACAAAACAAAACAAATTCACCGGAACCATCCCAACACCGCATTCACCGTTCACCGTTAGCACCCTCAGGAACTTGAACGACTCGACCGACCCTCATCACGCCGACTATCCTCCCACACCCAGTCCCACCACGGACGGCGAATATCTCTGAACCCCGCAATCCGGTTTCTGTCCGTGGTCTTCATCGCCTCGGTAGCCCTCATCCGCCGCAAATCCTCCTCCTTCTTCACCCTCTCCTCCTCCTCCAACCTCTTCTCCTCCTCCAACACCTCCTCCTGCTCCTTGACAACACTCCTCACCACCGCATCCTCATCATCCACCTCCACCTCCTCACTCTCATCATACGGAAACAGCTCGAAAATCTCCTGCAACACCCCCACCTTCGACTGCGCACTCATCAAATACATATTCAATCCAGCCAACATCCTCCTCGCGGCCCGGAACCCATCCTTCGTCCACAAATTATACTCCTTGCTCCCCAACACCTGGAACACATGCGGATCGGGGTCCTCCTCCGTCGAAGACCGCGACAGGTGCAGCCACTCCAGCTGTTGCATGAACCGCGCCATGTTGTCCCGGGAGTAGAAGCGTTTGTGGGATTTGCTGGCGATAAACTGCTTCTCTTCTTCGTGGATAATGGTGGGGTTGTATCGGCCACACCACAGCTGCGAGGTTTTGCTTCCCGGGAAGACGGCGCGCAGGAGGTAAAGGTTGCTTCCGTGCAGGCCGATGAGGAAGACTTCTTGGTCTGGGAATTGGTCGCCGGGAGGGCGCAGGCGGAGGAGACTGATTAGGACTTGGCCCATTATGAGTTGGAGTTTGCCGGCCAGGGCGGTTTGAAGGGGCTCGTTTTCGCTGGTGGTCTGGTGATGGGTGAGGTTAGTATTTGGTTTGGATTAGGAGGGAGGTTGGAGGGAGAAGAGAGGAGGGGAGAGGGAGGAGGGGAAGGGGAGGAGACTATACCGTTGACACAGGGACAACACAACGCGCTACTCCGATATCCGGGAAATGGTCCAAAGTGATCCAACTAGCTGAAGAAAGGCCATCTTTGAACTTATGGCGATATCCGGTCCAGTACTCCGCCTGACAATCCATGAATCTCGGACTGGGGGATCGCTTCGTCAGTGTGCATGATATCAAGGAGGGGGGAGACCAAAGACAAACCGAAGGAAAAACCACTTCCTATCATCCTCCGACTCGCGACTAATGGATAGCTTGTACATCAACTCATCCAGGAGAGCATAAATGACCTGTGCCTGTCTTTTGCACACTTTCGCGAAATTAGTCCGGGGCGGACAGATCGCAGTACTTCCATTCTCGTCTTCAAAGAATCCTTTCTCGAACTGGGGACCTTTCTTGAGAGTTTGAAAGACGCCCCGGAAGGCGATGTCGACTTTGGACCATTTCCTAAGGTTCTTGCCACGGGCGTCGTTGTCTTCACGGAAGACCCAGACGGGACGTTGCACGCATCCTGAGTTATTATTCAAAATCAGTATGATCCTATCTCTTCTTGATACAGAGAGTTAACAAGGGAGGGGACGCACGAGTATGATCCGCTTTAACCAGATACCGCACAGGAATAATCTCCTCGTCCGACCGATTCAGATGAAACTTGGCTCTGATCCCGTGGACTTCGACCTCGACGACCTGATCCACGGGGGCCGGCTCGGGTACTTGTTCCGGCTCATGGGGGATCTCGGGGATCACCTCCATGAGTGGAACGCTGGGCGTGCGAACAAGCAGGGGACTCTTTTGTGCCATGGTTTATGGATGATGGAGGATGCGAGAAATGAGAGATGAGGAGGAGGAACTGACAAGTAGATGAGGACGTGCTGCGCCGAGACATCTGCTGAGTCGTCGGGGTGACTTGCCTGAGGGATTGAGATCTTCATGGTGCTGGGGGAGTGAATCGGCGTGTGCGTGTGCGTGTTGGTTTCTATGGCGAGTGACTTTGGTATGATTGAGTAGGGAGTGGAGGCAGCCTGGAGGGGGGTTGATTCATGTGGTGGTGAGTCAGAGCTTTGGGTTGGTATACATGAAGCGTGTGAATGGGGTGCTGGGAAGTTCTATGGGTGCTTGGGGCGTGTGTTCGGTGGGATGATATGCGGAGCGAGGAATGGTCCAGTCACAGAAGGATGAGGGTAATGTGCTGTTGTTGCATTGATGGTGAGCACTACGTGCTGTGGTCTAGAATCAGACTACACGAGGTGGTTATTGGGGATGATTCCTACGTCTGGTGAGAGTATTCCACACAGAAGGTAATCCAAAGTCACGTTTGGAGAATATCTGCTTTCACCCTATCTGCATCAATTATGTAGTTCGATTGGCCTTTACATATCGTGGGTCATGTGAAATTTTATCTCAATATTATGAATGGCAAGGTGGAGCCATTGTCATTAAAAGGGAGTAGTTGGTGTCCGGGTATGTAAAAGTGGAGTGATACTATATAACATGATGGTATTCCCCATCCAGCTAACACCCCATAACTTCTCTCGACAGAGGCATCCCTTCAATAGAGACATAACCAACAAGCATAATCACTCATACGTATATAGAATCGATAGAGACCAACCAAGACATTGTCGCGATGCCCTCTCATCACCCACGTTCTTAGTCACAGCTGAGTGGGGCGCGTTGATAACGGGATTCTTCGAGCTTCCCCGCTTATCAGCAACCTCCTGTCTTCCCCAGACGATATATCTGGAAGCATTGTTCTCCCATCGTATATGATATTTGCAATTGGAAGAGTCAAAGCATATCATTGATTATATAAAAGATGTCCAAGACAGCGAGAATCCCCATCCGCACCCAAAAGGCCCCTCTTCCCCCGCCGTTCCTCTCCCAGGGCATCGTTGTCGGCGATATGGTTTATTGCTCTGGACAGGTGGGTGTGAATCCTGCTACGGGGAAGATGGTTGAGGGATCAGTCCAAGAGAGGACAGTATGATTCCCCTTCATACAGACTACAAGCTCATTCCTTCGGATCCAAGGGCATGGAAAGCGTTAGCTAACGGGCTCAGAAACAAATCCTTCATAACTTAGATGCGGTGCTCGAAGCCGGCGGTTCTAGTCTGCAGGATGCTGTGAAAGTGAACATATTCCTTGCTGATATGAATGACTTCGCTGCGGTCAATGAGGTTTATAGTTCGTTTTTCGCGGATCCGAAGCCGGTGCGTTCCCTGTCCGCCCATTTTCCATCAATGGATTGGCGTGTAGTAACAGAGACAGGCCCGGACATGCGTTGCAGTCAAGACTCTACCACTGGGAACTGACGTGGAAATTGAGTGTTCTGGGGTGGTGAGTGTGCCGAGTCGTGCTTCTCGTCTATGAGCCCATGCAGGCTCCTGGATATAGCTGGGGGGTGGTGAGTCTGTGAAGGGACAAATGCGGAGATATGTATTGAAATGTGCTTATGTGCAATACACTGCATCTCGGCCGAATGCAACGGTTAGACTTAGACCAGATAGACTGGTATATCTGCAGACAAGCCCAATTCTAATGTCAGGAACCGGCGTGTCAGTTGTGCCGTTATGCATGAACTCGGCTGGTCGTTGAGCTTGTGTCTAACGACTGTCGGGATAGATGGCCGATACTAGTCCTATACCCTGCTGGATCCTCCATTGTAAGCAAAGTAGCGAACTATGGAGTATGCTGTCTCAGATCGACTGGGTCGGTAAAAGCACGGATTTAGAGACGATCGGACCGCTATAATTAGCAGAGTTCCGCCATTTTCAGGCAAATCCTTCGGATAAGGTGCGCATCTGGCAGTCTGCAGCGCACTACGGCGCTGGTCGAACTTTTTAGGCTCTGAAGCGAACATCCTGACTCTCAGGGTCGGCGAGCCTGGGATCTGCTGCAGCGGAGGGGAGCTGCTGGTCACAGAAGGGAGCCTGGCTAGGCCGCATTGGGGTAATGCACACGCCAAGTCCCGGCAATCGGCCAATGGAGCCAAGGGCCGTAGTGGGGCGGGGGTCAGGAACAGGCATAGCGGGCGTGCTGCAATTTCCCAGTCCTTGGGTCGCCCGCCAGATTTGCCCACGGTTCATTAGATTCAGGGTCAATCCCCCGTGTCAGGAACGTGGGTGCGTCCAGCATCGAGCACGGAGTACGGAGTATCGACATCGCGATCGCAATGGATGGATCTCTCCTTTTGCGATCCCCCTCAGTGAGTGGTCGATGCCCCATGGAAGTAGGAGACTGATTCCTGAGACCAGGAGGCGCTCTTTGAACGGGCTCAGCCTACGGGATTAAAATAGAAACCACAACAATGGTGCCACAGGACGGAGTTCCGTAGCTCCTACCAACTAGCTTCCTCTAGTATCGCCAGTCCACCGTCCGTCCTCGCAACTCAGGCGCATGACGATCCGTGTTCCTATTTGGCCAATTTGATTTGGGTCTTATCAGTTCTCAGAGCTTGGACTTGCCGATCTGCATCCAGTATGGCGAGGAGGCCAGTCTGGCCGACATCTTCGCTCGACTGTCTCGATGAGGTTGCCTTTGCCACGCTCGTGAGATCCAACACGAAAGTTGAAGGAGCAATGACCATGGGGGCCCTCCTGCGAATCCTCTCTGACTGTGCCGGGGCTCGGTACCAAGGGCTCAGCCAATACCAGATCTCTGGAATCCTGTATCACGCTGGTTCTGAGACCGAAGGGATGGAAATAGCGAGTGTTTCAGCCCTGTGAGCGATGGATGTCTTGCCCTTCCGAGTCTCTGACATACCAGTCATGTCAGGGCCAAAGATGGACGATTGGCGCGCTGTCAAATAACACTGACCGGCGGGCCAAGGAATTAGATAGGAAAAGGCCAGTTTTGCTGCTCGTGACGGTTGGCGCCGCCGAGCATGCACGTGGTGTAAGACATGAATTCCTTCCATGATTCCGTTTTTCTGTCCCCCAACGCCGGTCTGATTTTCCGGAGTCTGAGTCTCGAGCCCCGTCCTTTCGGGTGCGGGCTAAGAAATTAGCCAAGGACTAATAGAATGGAGCAAGTTCTCGAAATGACCTGAGGTCGATAGCGCCCGCCACTAGCTTCTGGATGGAGGGATTGACTTGCAGACAATTAGAGGTGCAGTGCTAAGTCCTACTAGTAGATAGCGGTAGCACATCATGTCCCACGTTATGACTTATGACAGGACTTAGCTGACCTAGGATCAGTGCATGCCTACTCTATCCCGGCAGAATGGATGTGAGCGTACGTAGTGGCTCCGTCGGATGTACAGATGGGTATTGGATGCCTCTGGGTTAAGTCGCGATGGTGAGACAGCCGGGGTGGATGGATGGATCATGGCGGGCGGGAGGGAAATCATTCAATCTTACAGTTACCTGACCACTTACCAGCCCGCTAGGCAGAGACGCTACGGACGGGCGGTTGGACGTACGTACGGAGTACTTTCGACTTACAATACGGAGGGCCACCACCACCATCACCACCACCACATTGTCGCTGCTGGCAGGCGCATAATCCCATGCTTATCACATTCCTCGGTTCCAAGTCAATCAAGAGAGGAACTCTCCTCGTCTTTGCGCGAACCATGAAACCCGACCAACCAAGCCATGCGACTTTCTCGTGATGATCCTTTCCTGACCATGCCCGACCATGCCAGCCATCGACGCGGCCACCGCACCGCCCGTATCACCACGCACCGGGGCTATCCCCACAGCCATCCAGGAACCACCCGCACTAAACGACGCCGTCAGTCTAGGCCTTGTGGTGGTCCGAACCTTGACGGAATTATGCCCTTTGCAGAAGAGGCTGGCGTGCGAGGCGGGAATTACGATGGGCGCCGTGCCACTGCTGATCGGCAATTGTCCCTGGCCACATTCACCGGCCATCCTGCGCTGTCCTACCCATCCGCGAGCCGGTTACTTGTACTTGCCTGAATTTTGAGGTGCCCTTGAAGATTAAGCATCAATTCTCGGGCTGCAATCATGATTTCCCTATGAGTTTTCTGGATGGACTAAACTTACTTCAACGTCATGCGACATCCCGGAATAACTGGGCCCTTTGTCAACATCTCCACCAATCATTCTGTTGGTTTCCAGAGGTAGTAGTACCAACCCTGTCTGGCCTACCTACCGTCTTCCACAGGATGCATACAGCAACCATCAACCCCAACCTCAGGCAACTGCCAGGGCACTCTACACCCTGTCCTGGCCTCCTTTGCACTGCACAAGTGCACATCAGTGCACCAATCTGCGGATGAGATACCGGATGGACACCTTGTGCTCCATCTCTACTTGGTTGACGAGACCCTAGTTTGTCGATCGGAATACGCGATGCAACCCTGTTGAGATGCCTAGACCCTTGATCGATAATCCTCTCGGCTGCATGTCGTGCAATTCCTGGCCATGACTACCTAGCTCGAGGGAGTATCTACTCTGGACTCCTGGAGGTCACCGTAGCCTAACGTGCGCCGTTGACTAGATCCTGTACTATGGACGGACAGTGGACATGGACCTGACCAGAAAAGGCGGTTTACTCCGTACTATTGATCGTTTGGCAGTTAGTGTTCCTTTGATGGGACCTCGACCACCGGGACATACGTAGCTACATGCCTCCATTAGGACCGGTTTTCGGCCATTCCTCTGCAGACGTACATAGGCACAGTCATACACACAGACAGACCTACATGGCCGGGATGCATGGATCTGGAGTGCATGTGCAGGAGAGAGAGAGTCGAGAACCTGTGATACGTAACGACAGCCGGACCGGCACTGGCAAGCAAGAGCGGGAAGCGGGCTGGGTCGTCATTCAATGGCCATCTGGGCTAATAAGAATAAGGATCCGAGGCGGTAATATACGGCAACCATGGACAAATACCGTACGGAAAGAGGTGGGGCGGGGGGTTCCACCTCACCCGGTGCGTGTCCCCAACCCGCCTTGTGATGGGGAGGCCAGCATTGTTTCCACGGCCGTTGCCCTTTTTTTACTCCCGGGTGAGTTTGTTCCCCCTCTCTTCCCCCCCCCCCCTTTTTGGTGGTACCAACCAGAAAAACCCACCCACCCGAAAAGCAGCGGTGGTAAGTAAAAACTAAGTAAAGTACCACCACCGCCATGACACGGACCGGGCCAACTAAGCCAGGCTAAACCGCCAGAGAGTAATCTCCCCTTCCTCTCACTAACTCTCCTTTCATTCATTTAGTGCTGTTGTTATTATTATTATTATTATTACGATTACTGCGACTTTGCTTTCCCGTCCTTCCTTTAGTACTATTGTTCTGCTGATTACCATCATCATCATCTTCTTTCCATTCTTTCCCTTCCTTTTCTCCCCTCCCCAATCTGTTTCTCCAGCGCCGGTGCTTCGTTGACGTAGCCCATCTTTGAACGTCTTTCTACGTCAACGAGCCGTTGGGACTTGCCAATTCATCGCTCAGCCTCTCTCTCCTTGCATCCCATCCCCTCCCACGGTCGCGCCCTCTCCAGGTACTTCCAACCGCCGCTCCACCATAACAACCCACCCCCTCCCCCTCTCCACAGCCGTTTTCTCACTTGACATCCCTGGTTTAGATCTCGTCGCTCGCTCCTTGCCGCCTCTACGCTCGTTATCGCTTTGTTTGCTGGGGACTTTTCGTGAGGGGTTGCTGTTGGTTTCTCATCGACCACGCCCCCCTGCCGCTCTTTGAACTCGCTTTGTTTATATCGAACTCCCGCTGTTGGTGCGCGCAAATCGATCCACCGGCTGTCAGTGCAGTGCTAGGGCTTGTTGTGATCGAGACACTCAATCGGGGGATTTTGTGACCCGAATCTCTTGTCTTCGCCGAGTTCCTGTTTGCTTGTCGACTCTAGAATTGCGACTGCCTTCCAGCCTTCGACCGATCCGGGATATCGTTACCATTCGCACGATCCGTTCGGTTGAGATTGATTCGCATCAAGTGATTGGAAAGTGGAAAGGTGGATACGCAAACGTCCGGGAAAGAGACATCTATATCGCCCGGTAATCAGCCTACCGATTTCCTACCAGCCACCGACCCCATGCATCAGCAATATCGACGATTGGTTCCGATTTTCGACGTTTGACCACTTTGTGCCTTGGGATATTTGGTTTTGAAGGTTCCCATTTGAGCCTTCGCTCTGTCCATTCTTTTCAGCACCGTTACGGTCTTTTGGACCATCTAACCGCTCTTTATTGCCTATCATTGTTATACAATCCTTTCAATCAATATGCTTGCGCCAACGACCTCGCTGTTGGCAGCGTTCTTGTCCCTGGGTGGCCTCGAACTGGTCGCGGCCCAGGATGCGGCCCAGGCCCAGGAATTGAGAGCGCGCCACTATTTCGCGAAGCGCTCTGAGACGCACGTCAGCTCCGATGTTTCTTCCCAGCCTGTTACGCCGGTCGAGTTGACCACCAGGTCCGAAACGAGTGCGATTGACTCTGCTCTCACCTCGGCAGAAGAACACACTCCTCTCCGGGACTCGTCACCTGGTGTCATTGTTGTTCCGGTGACCCTTTCAGTCGACGCCAATGGTGTTACGCACACAATCGTGGGTACGGCACCATATGTTCCCGGTGCTTCTACATCCACAAGCTCTACCGTGGAGCGTGTGGAGAGTACACCAGCTCCGGCATCTGCCACAACGACAGCAGGCTCGACGACGGCAAGCTCGTCTACCACAGGGACCGACTCAACCACGACCGAGTCTGAAAAGCATACTTCTACAAGCAAGTCTGAGACGCCCACTTCTACCACCGAGTCTGCGAAGCACACTTCTACATCGTCAACCGCTGCTGAGACGACCCCTTCTTCGTCAGCTGCTGCTACGACTTCCCGCACTTCGATTAGCGACTCCTTGGAGAGCCTCATTTCCAGTTTACTTGGGTCCGCTGCCAGCACTAGCACGGCTGCCACTACGACCAGCCCTACATCGCAGACTGAGTCTAGCTCTGCAACGTCCACTCCCGTATCAAGCTCTGCTGCCGCCATCGTAGACGTCCATACAAGCAAGAGCTCTACCAGTGAGAGCTCTACGTCTCCCAGCTCCACAAGAGAGAGTGCTACTGAAAGTTCCGCAGCTCAGGGATCGACAACCCAGAGCTCTTCCACCCATGTCATCCAGGTCCAGACTTCTTCCAACCCCGCCTCTTCAGCTGCAATTGCAACCGCAGAGTCCTCGACAGAGTCTTCGAAGACTGAGTCTGCCATTCCGACTTCGAAAGCAGAGAGTTCCACTCACCTCATCACCAGCCAGACCACTTCCGCCCAGAGTACTTCCGCTCAGGTACCCCTGTCCGAGTCTTCTTCGAAACCAGAGTCGTCAACCCAGAGCCTGTCGAGCCAAAGCTCCTCAAGCCAGGTTACTTCTGTCCAGGTCACTTCCACCCAGGCCACCTCTGGTCAGGTCACTTCTTCAAGTGTGGCTTCTCAGACTACCGGAGCGGCATCCTCGAGCATCATCCCTGCTTCATCTCAAGACGCGACTTCCACTGCAACCCCGAATTCGTCGGGGGGTCTGCTAGCGTTCCTTACGGATGGCCAGAGCACCTCAAGCGTGGCTTCCCAGACTACTGGGGCAGCATCCTCCAGCCTTATTCCTGTTACGTCTCAGGATGCGACTTCCACTGCAGTCCCAAGTTCGTCAGGTGGTCTTCTCGCATTCCTCACGGATGGTCAGAGCACTTCCTCAAGCGTGGCTTCTCAAACAACTGGGGCAGCATCCTCGAGCCTTATCCCTGTCGCATCTCAGGACGCGACTCCCACGGCAACTCCAAGTTCGTCAGGCGGTCTTCTCGCATTCCTCACGGATGGTCAGAGCACCTCAAGCGTGGCTTCCCAGACTACTGGGGCAGCATCCTCCAGCCTTATTCCCGTGGCGTCCCAGGATGCGGCTTCCACTGCAACCCCGAGCTCGTCAGGGGGCTTGCTCGCATATATTACGGATATGTTGTCTTCTAGCACCAATACTGCTACCTCCACCGGATCTAGCCCGGTTGTCAGCCAGAGTGCAAGTGGCTCTGTTGATTCCAGCGCTTTTCCTACAATCTCAGTCAGTGTCCCTGTGGTTACGCCTGCATCATCATCTTCGGGATCGGTCGAAATCATTCCTGGTCTACTGAGCACACTACTGGGTACAAGCTCGGAATCAGCGCCAGAGACTTCAAGCATGGTGAGCCTTGGCTTGGGCATCTCCGCCACTTCCACGGCTCTTATTCCTGGAGCGTCTAGCGGATCCCAAAGCTCCGCCGCCGGAGCCTCGACTCCCCTCGCCAGCGGTGGCATTATCATCTTGCCCACTGCGACTGAAACTTCGTCCGGGTCTGCTTCAACGGGTCTTTTCGGATCTACGTCCGAATCCGCCGGATCGACCTCTGCATTGGCTTCTGGATCGGCAGGTGTTATTCCTACCTCGGACGCAGGTTCTGTTTCTGGGTCTGCAGGCGTTATTCCTACATCGGTCTCCGGATCTGCCTCTGGCTCCGTGGGCGTTATTCCCACGTCGGTCTCTGGCTCTGCTTCTGGGTCCGCAGGCGTTATTCCCACGTCGGCCCCTAGTTCTGCGTCGGGTTCTGCAGGAATCATTCCTACTGCGGCATCCGGATCCACTGGACTTTTCCCTACGACTGCTTCTGGAGCCTCTTCTGGATCTGCTTCGGGATCTGCCGGGCTTATTCCCACTGCAGGATCCGTATCATCTGGGTCTGCCTCTTTGACTACCTCCATCCCCGGGCCTGGATCCTCTATCCCCTTGATCACTTCCACTGCAGAGCCCTCGGGTGTAGCGTCGGCAACGCCGACAAGCGCTCTGTCCACAAGCAGCAGCACGGAAACGCCGTTGACCACAGAACAACCGACCACGACGACGACCAAGGCCGCTGAGACCACCCTTACCCCGACCTCGACCTCGACCACCTCCGATTCTGATGACTATCTGCCATCAAGCATCCTGGTGGTTGAGCCCACGACTACAACATCGAAAAGTACGGGCACGGCTACGCATGCGGCTACTACTACCACTGCTTCCGTTCAGCTTCCTGGGTCGATCTCTCCCGCCGGTGGCCTTCCCGAGAAGCCGGCGAACGACACCTTGATTCAGATTGGTTTCAACGGCAAACTGCGCTACAGCTTTGTGGCCACGACGCCTTTGTCTTCCTCTCAGATCTTCATGTATGTGCCGGAAGGTCTCGGCTACGCGTTGGGACTCAACGACAGTGATGTGGTCATGTATGACATCCAACCGTACGATAACTCGGCAAGCACCGGCTATATTGCTACCGTTGCCCTGGCATACATCCCGTCGGACGATGTTGACACGCTGAGGAAGATGCTTCACAACCCGATTTCGAAACTCTATGAGCAACCCAACGAGACGGTGAAGACATTGATGTCGATGATCGACCCCTCCATCCCTCTTCTGGTGGGCCAGTCGGGCTCTTCCGGCAGCAGCTCGTCCAGCGATGGTGGATCGGGAAGTAGCAGCAGCAACGGGGATGGAAGCGACGGCGGCTACGATCAAGGCGACGCGGGTACTAGTTCATCCGGAACTACCAAGGCCAGCGCCGTTGGTATCGGATGCGGTGCTGTAGCCGGTGCTGCAGCATACGGTGCCGGTATGTTCTGGGTTGCGCGTCGGTACCGGAAGAAGCGTCAGTTGCACCAACGCTCGCCCTCGAGCGTCGACCAGATGAGCGAAGGCCGCGGTGGTGGGTCCGTATTCGCTGCCGGTGGTCGTCTCTCCCGCAACAGTCAGAACAGCCGCGGCACCGGCCGGACCCAGATGATTAGCGCGCCCGTGATGGCGGAGAATTCGCTCGGCTGGAACTAAGCCGGGGCCCGTCAGTTGTTCCATATAAAGATTGACTCGTGTATTTTGTTCAATGCTAGACAGGGCCAGAATATAAGCTGGAGCCACGACGAAAAGCTGCCGACAGCTTCCTGGGGGCGTTGCTTTTCCGAGTGGCCCCTAATCTGTGTGGAATACCAAGCGATGCTCGATTCTGCCGTTGTCCCAACTGTATTTCACACGATCTTGCCATGCCATTGCGTCCCGTTTCCTGGCAGTTGTTTTGTTTATCTACATTTTCCCTTCTTATTCCCCACACGTTTTTGCCATTTCTTTTCCCTCTCTTTCTTACTCTCCTTATGGTGACACAGACCTGCCACCGCAATCATTTTACCCTTCTTCTTCTTCTTCTTCTTCTTCTTCTTCTTCTTCTTCTTCTTCTTCTTCTTCTTCTTCTTCTTCTTCTTCTTCTTCTTCTTCTTCTTCTCTTTCTCAGGGGCTCCTCCGTGCCCCTGACTAACTTCCTACGCTTCTTAATGGTTGGGTGGTAGGTATCTGTGACGAGTGACGCCGTGCTATACTCTCCTACCCTTGTTTCTCCTTGTCCTATCTCTCTCTCTCGTCCCTCCTATTTGAGTCATTATGTGTACAGATGTATATTTCCAGTAGATCGACGGACCCGCCGGCCGAGATTATCCGGTGGAGCTGAATGAAATGTTCCAATGAGGTGAATTTGCGTAAATTGTTCTTCACTAGTTTGATTGTCTTACTCCGTACTAGTATTAGATGATTGTCCTTTTTGGGGTGGCCGGGACTGCTTTCATGGCGCCAGGCGAAATTTTGAATCAAGCCCTGAGCTAACAACCGTATGAGAATGAAGATTATGATGATGGTGGTGATGATGATGATGATGATGATGATAATGCCTGGCTGAACGACAAAGAACCAAGAGCCGAGAGAAAAGAACAGACCGCTAAGGGATAAGTATATACAGTACAGAATGTAGAAAGGTAGATGTCTGATCCCCTCTCACTGAAGAAGAGTATTGGGGGGGGAAGTGTGTTCTAATCAGTCTTTCTTTTCTTTCGAATGCGAGCTCAGGCCGAGCAGAGCTAGAGGGCCGGTCTCGCCTCGTTGTTCACGCTCGTGCTTCCGGTGTTCCTTGGCCAGACGTCGTTCCTCCTTGTATTCTTCCCAGGATAGGTTGGCGGCAGCAGCAGCGACGTTGGCGTCGGAGTCCATGGCTTCGTGGTTGTTCTTTTCGTCCTGTACCTTGAGGAAGTGGCTCAGAGAGGTGGCCTCGTCGTGAGGGACCCGTACGGTACGAGGTAGGGGACGGACGGCGTCTTCGCCGGCGTAGGCCCGGATTCCGGTATGGAACGCCCATTCGACGGCTTCTTCGACGGGTTCGTCGAAGATGTATGGGAGGAAGGGAACGACGGAGAGACCGAGCTAGTGTATGTTAGCGATTATATTGATGGAGTTTGTTTGATGTGAATGGATGGCACTCACCCCGATCGGCACCCAAGTGCGGAGGAAAACGCCTTTGGAATTCTTCAACATCCGGCCGGAATATTTGACTACGGAGTGGATGGTAAAAGCCGGAAGACCCATACTGGCGATGCCCTGGAAGACGGCTCGCTGGGCCATTACCATGCGGTAGTCCTCGGCCAGCGGCACTTGGGTGCTGGGCCAAGGCATGAGCGTGTCGCCGCCTGTGAGGGAGCCGCTGATGTTGCCGGTTACCATGCCCTTCGCGATTTTGTCGTTGGTCAGGTCGCTGGCATCCTTGTAGGCCTCGCAGGGAGGGGCTAGGACACGGCGGTTGCGCAGGTAGGCCTTGTAGCCCTCGTGGGCGACGTCGCCGATCAGATAAGTCCAGGAGATACCGTAGGCTGATCGGACGAGCCAGGGATGGGCGACCGGGCGGAAGGACTCGCCAATGTCGGAGGTATAGGCGACATAGCGGTGGGCGGAGAGGAGGAGAGTGCGGAGACGATTAGCGTACCCGGCATAGCGGTAGGGGGTTTCGGTGGAATCGACCGAGCTGGAGAGAGGGTTAGTGAATTAGTATCCCAGTACTAACTAAGGATACTGTGGGAGTGGGAGTTTTGGCTGCTTGCGGGGAGAAATGCGGGGAGACGCGGAGACACCCACGCCTCGTGTGACCGACCGACGAGGCTGGCGAGCACCCGGCAATGGAGCAGGGGCCAGACGTACTAGGAGGAATAGATGTCATCGTAGAAGCTATCATCGCGGTCGGCCAGCTTTTGTAGCTGGGGATGAAGCTTCGTGCGAGGAGTGGGCTCTTGGACCTCCTCGGGCGTGTCGTCGTGATGCTTCCTCCAGAACATGATGTGGTAGAGATGATGGCTGAATGAGATGACAACGGCTGGAAGGTGCAGAAGAATGAAGTCAAGGGACCTCGAAGAGAAAGAGGCACGCTGAAAGCGATGAGTGAAGCGAGGAATGGAGGAAGTCAATCAAGGGGCGACGGTGGTGGTGGTAGTATTAGTGGTGACTTCAGGCGAAGAGCTGGCCAGAGCTAAGTAAGTATCTACGAGCGCGCAGCAATCCATGGACTCGAGGAACTTATAGGCCCAACCATTCGCTGCAGCGCAACCGTAGGCGGCAGCCGGCCAGCAGCAGAGCAGCTCATAGCCGGGGCAATTTCCACCTCGCTCCAGGGAAGAGTTCACTTCCCCCGAGGTTCGGATGGGAGGATCTCCTGCTGCGGTAATGGGCACCGCCACGACATGATCTCATTCGAGCTTGAGATTGGCCTACGGGGACATTGAACACGAGTTGTAGCTTCTGCACACATCATGACTGTCCATGACAGCTCGATGGCGCCCGACCAGCTGGGAGTTTGGGAGCATCTGCTCTGATGCTGCGTCATACCATATCCCGTGATGCTTTCCCGGCCCTCACGTGCTTCGGGCACTTCCGGGACATCACGTGAAATGCATGCTGCTCGCGTGACCCCCTGTCACCTGGCTGAAATGCTGACTCACTTATGACTCAGCTAATGCTACTGGCTTGCTGACTCAGGATCCAGTCAGCATCCACGCCAGGCCCAAACGGGCAAGGACCACAGCCGCAACTTCCATCGCAGCCGCCCAACGACTGATTCCCGCAGGACCTACTAGCATCGCACCGCTACATCCGCCGTTGACCTCCCCGTTCTCCATTGAACTCTCGCCTCCAATCCGTCATCATGGTCGTCTACTACCAGATCGCCGGCAAGCAGATCGGCTCCCACGTCGTACGTCTCCGTCTCACCCGGTCCCAACCTCCCCTGTCCCAGACCAATCTCTGCCGAGGTCACCACCTCGGCCGACAGGACACTTCCTAGCTGGGTTGAATCTCGTTAACTGACTGTTCGATTGCTTCTAGCTCGCCATGAGCGTTCTCGGTGCTCTCTTTGGTGGTGTTGGTCTCGCTACCCGCGGTGGCAGCCAGCCCAAGCCTGCCGCTCCTCCCATCCAGGCTTCCTCCAAGGATGAGGAGACCTTCATCCAGTACGTTCGGACTCTTCTGGCTGACCCTGTCCAAAGGAATATCTATAACGGACAAGGACGATCATTTGAACTCGGGCTAACGTCGAGCTACAGGGACTTCCTCAAACAGATGAACGGGGAGGACAAAAAGAAGGACCATTAGAATACCTTTAATTCAGGAATGAGTCGAGGACCATGACATGAAGATGCTCGACTTAATGGGTCATCGGCTGGGGTGAACTGGATTCCACCGTGACGGGTCGGGCAGTGTCCTTGAAATGTTGCCCTGCTGGGACGGCCTGGCGGTTCCAGAGAGGTGTGAATCTGTACATATAGAGTATACACCCTGAACGTTTGTTCTCAACTTGCTGGTGTGAACGAAGTTGGTAGACGAATCTGTAGGTAGCTATATTGGTGTAGAAGTATACAGGGAGCTGGCACTGAGAAGCGCCAGCAAAACAAACAAAAGCACTTACCCACAAGCCAAACGACCCGAACAAACCACTACAGGTTCTTAACCTCTAGTCCAAATCTACTACCACTTACTTTTGTACCTGTCGGCTGTCTCACAATCCGTCACAGTCACCTGACCAGCCATTCTTCTCTCCATCCATCTTATCCATTCATCCTCTCTATCTCCCAACCCACATCCAACAAAATTCACACCACCACCATGAAACCCACCCCCTTCCCCATCGCCCTCAACATCGGCACCGACATCGTCCACCTCCCACGCATCAGCAAGCTCCTCCACCGCCCCAGCTACTTCACCCGCTTCACGCGCCGCATCCTCCACGCCGACGAACAACGAGACTTTCGCGCCCGCTTCTCCCTCCCTCAGCCTACACCAGCCTCCTCTTTCTCTCCTTCACCCTCCCCACCATCCCCATCCCCACCCCTCCAACCCCCGAGCAGTATAACACCCGACGTGGTACGGTGGCTAGCGGGCCGGTTCGCGGCCAAAGAGGCGGCGCGGAAAGCGGCGCCTCTGGGAGCGGCGCATATTAGTTGGAAGGAGGTGGTGGTTACGGTCGGGGAGGGGGGGAGGCCGGAGGTGGTGTATTTGGATGGGTGTGAGGGGGATGAAGGGGGGAAGGGAAAGGGGGAGGGGGAGGGTTCAGGAGGGAGGGTGGGGAAGTTGTCTATTTCGCATGATGGGGAGTATGTGGTTGCTATGGTTGTTGCGGCGGGGTGAGGGGGAATATATTGGAGGGATTTGGGAGGGTGTAGGGTGTAGAGGGGAGGGTAGATATGGGAGTTTGTGGTTTGGGGATTGAAGGGGGGCGGCTTGTGTGAGTTGGGGTGACTGGTTTCGGAGCGCATTGTTTGGGTGTCGTTGTTGGGTGGTGAGGGTGGTTGGGCTATGCTTGGTGCTGAATGCTGAATGCTGGGAGGGTGGCCTGCTGTTGGAGGTAAAAGGTTGGAGGGGTGATAGTGATGTGGTGATATGGATTGAGTATCGCGATATGCGATGGTGGGGTGAGCTAGCTAGCTGGCTAGCTACGTGACCACGAGGACTGTATCCATAAGTGTATATTAGGTTAATGGACTGCGATATTGAAATCAACATCGGAAGATAGCTGATAGGGCTATAGGGCACTGCATCTGTCGATCTCATATCGTCAACTCGTCGGTTGGTGTCGGCGAGCGCCGCTCCACGACCATCGGGCAGTGACTCCCGCAACACACCTTCACGGTCCTCTGCATCCGACCTCCTGACCCAGGACCACGTTCCATCAACGGCCTCGCTGTCTGGCTGCAATCAGCCTGAATCCCACTAGCTCCGTCCCCCTGGACACCAACCACCACCCCTCCATCGCGGGGTCCATCAGCCGCAGTACGCATATCACCGCAGCACCGTCATTCTTCACCCATCCATGCGGGCAACACCTTCACTAACCACCGCTCCAGATGCCTTTCACCCATCACAGCCACTCAGGGCAGTTCTGCCCCGGCCACGCCAAAGACGGCCTGGAGGAGATCATCCAGCTTGCGATAGCCAAGAAATTCCACACCTTCTGCCTGACGGAACACATGCCCCGACATGAAGAAGACTTCTACCCGGAAGAGGTACCTCTCATACTACTGGCCTCTCCCCCCAGTGCGATGCATCACTAACCCACCAACCAACTCCCCAGATCGAAGCCGGCAATACCGAAGCCGGCCACGTGGCCAACGAAGCCGCCTACTTCGCCGAAGCCACACGTCTGCGGACCAAATACGCCGATCAGATCAAGATCCTGATCGGGTTTGAGATCGACTGGATCCGGCCGACCTCGCGCCTCCTCATCGAGGAGTCGCTCGCCCGGCACCCGTTCGAGTTCTTCATGGGTTCCGTGCACCATACCTTGACGGTGCCGATTGATTATGACCGGGCGCTGTATGAGAAGGCGCGCGACCTGGCGGGCGGCACGGACGAGCAGCTCTTCGAGGCGTACTTTGACGAGCAGCTGGATATGCTGCAGCAGGTGAAGCCGGTGGTGGTGGGGCATTTTGATCTGATCCGGTTGAAGAGCGATGACCCCGAGCGGAGTTTTACGGAGTATCCGCGGGTGTGGGCGAAGATTCTACGGAACTTGGACTACGTGGCTGGGTATGGGGGGTTGTTGGAGTTGAATTCGGCGGCGTTGAGGAAGGGCATGAGTGAGCCGTATCCCAAGGCAGAGATTTGCAAGGTGGGTTTACACTGGGGGAGATAATCCGGATGGGGCTGATTCGTTGATAGGAATTCCTAGCTCGGGGCGGGCGGTTTTGTCTGTCGGACGATAGTCACGGATTGGAGCAGGTCGGGTTGAATTTCCATCGCGTGCTGCCATTCATGGAGCAGGTGGGTATCTCGACCGTGCATTATCTGGAGCTGGGGGAGGGGGATGCGGCCGTTGATCAACGGTTTCCTCGGACGCAGATCCAATCGGTGACATTGGCGGAGATGAAGGCGATGGCCTTCTGGACGCAGGATGGAGCCACGACGCAGTGAGTTGACAGGTGCAGATGGTGGGTGCATCACATGCATGCAGGTCTGCCGTGACAGTTGGATTTGCTTTTTTCTGTGTATTGTGCGAAGGGAATGCAGATGATGGATTCTGTATAGCACCCGAACCAGCAGTTCCGCGACGATCATACGTTGGCAGGAAGCCCGATGGTCGGCCAGGTGCAGTGCGTCAATAACGGGCGGCACTGGCGGCCTCGGAGTTGCATGATGCCACGAGGCGAGTCTATCATAGGTGCATGCAACCGGTGACAACACCGCCGGGAATTAATAACGGGCTGGAGCAGAATTGGATGGCGGCGCAAATGGGGGATGGAGGAAAGGATGGATCGAATCGCTGGTGGCAGCGCCAGTTCCGCGCCAAGCGAACCCACAACTGCGCCCGCCCGCCAGCAATCACCGATTCCTCCATCACATCGCAGTAGCAACAGTAGCAGCAGCAACAGTAGCAGCAGCAGCAGCAGCAGCAGCAGCATCTGCCTCAGCACCCTGCACCGCTCCGCATGTAGAAACCATGCCAGAGTAGTAATATGGCACACCCACACCGTAAATCCATCCCCGCTGCCAGCGATCCGACAGCCAGAGAGCCCCTTCCGGTCTCGATCGAACTATAAATCCTTCCCCCGCCCCCACTTGGCCGATTCTTTTTCTTCTCCCTCGTCTTCCATTCTCCTTCCGCTTTTCTCCTCTTCCCTCCTCTCATCTCCATCTCGTATCTGCAGGATTCCACTTTGCCATCTCTCCATCATTCACCATGGGTGTCACCAAGACTGTTCTCGCTGAAGGCAACGGCCAGCAGTTCCCCAAGCCGGGCGATGTCGTGTCCATCCACTACACCGGCTGCCTCTATGATGCTTCCAAGCCCAACAACATGGGTAAACAGTATGTCACCATCTTTTCTAGGATGCTGTCGATCCCTCCCCAAGCTGTTTTACGGCATCTCCCTGTCCCTGCTGGAACTGCACCATCCGCATCCATGACATCACACGAAACAACCCATCTAACATCATGCCTCAGGTTCGACAGCTCCCGTGGCCGCGGTGTCTTCAAGACCGCCATCGGTGTTGGCCGTGTCATCAAGGGTTTGTTTTATTCCTTCCCCCTCTCTCCCTCCTCATTTAACTGATGACCCTGTAGGCTGGGATGAGGGTGTCCCCCAGATGAGCGTTGGCGAGAAGGCCGTCCTGACCATCTCCCCGTAAGTTTCCCCAATCATCTCTCCTTTCAATCCCACCAAACAACATACGGAGTACTGATGAAATTATACAGTGACTACGGCTACGGCTCCCAGGGTTTTCCCGGCCTGATCCCTGCTAACTCGACCCTCGTTTTGTAAGTGATTCCTTGTTGATGTTTCCCAATGCTATGTATCAGATGAATGAAACAACTGACTCTGTCCAGCGAGGTCGAGCTCATGGGCATCAACTAAGCGTCTCACTTGGTTTGGGATTGAATCGTGAAAAATGAAAGAAAAACGGCGGATCCTGTCGATTTTTTTTAGATCATTGTCGCTCAGCGTCTTTAAGCAATGAAGGTGTAATGTCTCGGGCTGGTTGAATGCTGGCTGTGGATGGATGGTTCTTGTAGTGTTTCTTGTACGGAGTAGGATATATGGACTAGATGGAGTGAAGTAGCACAGTAGTCGGGTTATCTGATCGATCGATTGGATCGTCACCCTGAAGGCTGAATGCTGCATGCTGCATGATCAGGTGACGGGATCAAGGAGTTATATTTCCCTCCTATCAGAGTATCACTAGGTATCAACAGGGAAAGAGAGCATCACTACATATCACCTGATCCTAACATGGATTTAATCCCTACATAGTCCCCTCCCCTTTCGATTTAACCCTACCAATCCTATCACCCTACATCCAACCCCATCTCTACCGAACAATCGTATTAATATACTCCATCCCCTCAGCCCGGTACGTATCTGCCTCCACATAACACTCATTCCTCGGCAACCGGAAGACAAAATTGTAGGGGTCGGCCGGGTCATATTTTGGCCATTGCGGGATATCGGATACTACCACCACCATTATTACTCAGCATGGATAGAAGAGGAAGGAGGATACATACCACCATGTCCATTCGGATCCAAATCCGACACAAAAGCCGTCCACATCCGGGCCGCTAGATTCCCGAGACTGAGACGCGCGGGATCACTACCCAGCGCGGTGATGTTTTGGATGGGGTTGGCGAAGACGAAGGGGATCTATACAGATTGAGTTTTAAGTATTTGGGGAGATATTTAGGTAGTAGGAGGGGAATGGGGGAGGGGGAGACTCACCTCAGCGAAATGTTCCACGCCGATGACGGACGTATCGTTCAAGGCGGCCACGTCCCAGCGGTAGGCATATACGTTCTCTTCGTACTGGGCCATGTGCTGTCCCAGGAGGCGTCGCGGAGCGAACATGCAGATGTCGCCGGCCATGGACTCGTAGCGTTTATATTCGTATCCGCGAGCGGGCCAGGTCACGTTGCCCCAGCCGTAGGGACAGCCGAGGGCGGAGATGTTGGGGTAGTGACTGAGGATGGTGGTTGCTTGGTCTGGGTTGAGGACCCAGCGTTTGGATGCTATGTATGTGGTTAGAGGGGGCTTGGTTTGTGGATAGGGGTTGATGGGGGTTGGGGAGGGGCTTACCCGTCAGCTGCTGAATGCACTCGGCGTCGGTGTTTGTGCCTGTCGTGCCGAAACTGACGCCCTCGTCGGTGTTGGTGCCATGGAGGATGGGCACTTTGGCGAAGCGGCCCTCTGTGATGCTGATCTGGGGGAATTCTTTGAGGAAGATTCCGTCAATGGTGCCGAACCATTCGATGCCGTCGTAGGCAACGGCATAGAGGGAGTCGAACGGGACTTCTCGGAGACATTGGAGGGTGTCTGTGGCTGTGGTGCAGCTGGATCGGAGCTGTTAGTGTGTTTTTGGTCGTGATGGAGGATAACGTACTTGGTTGCGTTCACAAGCTGGTCATACATGGGCTGGTACCAGTCCGTGCCGTTCCACGGAGGTCCAACGGCGTTTCCAGATTCCATGATGGCTGCGTGAGTTAGATCAGTGTGAGAAAGGAGTGTCTGTGTACGCACCGGCCCGGAAAAGGCCCTCGTTATCGCCATCATTCGTGACCAAGTGGGCTCCGACACTGTAAGCACCTCTGTATTTGATGTTAGAGGTGCTGGGAGATAGTTCCGATACACTCACGCCGATTCTCCCCAGATTGTGATTTTCTCCGGGTCTCCCCCAAAGGCCTCGATGTTTTGCTTGACCCAATGCAAGGCTACGCGCTGGTCACGTAGACCTAGGTTCGTGTTTCCTGAAGCCTACAACAAGCCAGATTAGTACCACACATAAGCTGAGACTGAGTGGAACGCACCATGACTTCCTCAGAGTTGAGGAACCCAAACGCCGCAACGCGGTAATTAATCGAAACCCCCAGCACAGGCTTATCGTTCAAGGCTCCCTGATGCAAAATATAACTCATATTGTACCTGTCCTGCCTCAGCACATCACCAAACCATAAGCCCATGGCATACTCACCTCGGATCCGCCGTCGCTCCCTCCATCCAGCCACCTCCGAAGATCCAGATCATCACCGGCAGCAACTCGTCCGAATCTCGCTTCGGACGGATAACATTCAGATTCATACAGTTCTCATTGAACTTGGCCCAGCCCAGCTCCGCCAGCTCCACATTATCAGACCCGTATCCGGGACAATCGTACCCATACTCGGTAGCATTGTAGAGCACGGCACCCGACGCATCCACGCCCGACGCATAGGGTCCCGAATCACTATCATTGGCACTGTAGGTAGTCTTCAGCGTCGAGGGGGTGAATCGGACTGGTTGATCGGCGAATTTGATTCCCAGGAACAATTCCTGGTCGAACTCCGGCAACGAGCGTCCCACAAAGACAGTGTTGTTGAGAGTCACCGACGGAGCCGAGGACGAATTGCCAACATCCCTCTGGACAATATGGCGCTCGCCGGGAAACGCAGACACGCCAGCGATCAATGCGAGCCAAAGGGCCCCGGAAACAAGGCTCCCTGCCATGATCACAGCCAACAATGACTAGATAGTGTGACAGTGTAGCAGGAGCTTGCGATCCCCTACCTGGCTCAGGAGAGGGGAGGGGCACATCCTCTCCGCCTATCTAGTTAATATATTCAACATACTAGTCATTCTTGGTAGATAAATAGCGCCCAGACGCTATTTCTCCGTCGAGAATCCATCTGACTCCATCCTGCATAAAGCCGATGCATGAGTTGCAGGACTCGTTATCCCCGAGAATGCATCCGGGATTGACTCAGGGATGGATGTACCCCGGACTCGCTGGAGATGCATGTACCCCAGGTCCCTCAAACTTAGAATGCCGTGGCCGGGACATGGTAGAGCCGGGGAGATGCAGATTATAGGTGGAAGTTGGTGATGAGGAGCCAAGCCGCTGGGGCGGAGTTTCTCCGTCCATCGCGGGATCAGGACCCCCGTTATTGGTCTCGGCAGCAGGAATAATGCGAGACATTCATCATCTCATATTGGCTGGGCACTGGCTCTTTGCCTAATGCGGCGAGCTCGATATTATTGTCTCGGATTGGGTGGAGAGAACGATCAGCAGGAGATGATGTCAACAAGTCAACTAACAACCCTCTCTTACAGGCAGGACTCTGTCGCAGGCAGCGTGCCTATGTATAAACACATATATTATTCTAGCCTATCGTTCACAACCATCACCCCCATCCGGGTATAGCTGAGACACATAGTGCCGTCTAGTTGTCGATCAATGCCACCGGCACCCTTCTAAGTACAGAAACCAAGACACTCAAGATCCCTAACACCAACCAGTCAGCCACATCAATTACAGTCATAAGACGACGCATGCCTGTCGCGCCGTGCTATGCTTCAAGTACACGAGGCATTTGGTATCGCAAAAGTTGAATACCTGATCGACAGCAGCTGACGCTGCCGTCGAGCCAAAACAGGAAAAATAAATATTAAGAAGCAGAAAAGGACGGAGCCTGGTGTGCGAGCATTCGCCCATCAATCATCTTTCGCCCGATCCCCTCCAGAACGAGTCCGGCTCGTCCCAGGTGAAGGGCTAGGAAAACGCCCCCGCAAGGCTGTTCCATTGTGAAGGCTTGACCCCGACCGTAGCAAATCGGGTCTCCACCGGGGCTCGGATATCGCATTCGAGGAGCTTCGGGACTCCAACCCGTCGTTCAACTCGATGAGGTCTCCGGTGCCTCGTCGCCCAATCGCCTGCGCTGGATCGTCCCTCGGGAAACTTTGCGGCTGCTGCAATTCGTTCAAACTCGCCTTGGCTCGAGTCGTCATCTTCCTGACCCAGGACTCGACTGCCCCACCAAGATGGTCAAGGCCGGTTGGCGTGTTCGCTGCTGCTGTGGACGTGCTCTCGGAGGAGCCTTCAAAATCCGGTGGATGCGCCACGGGTGCGAGATTCGGCAAATGCTGCGCAAAGAATTTGCTAAGTCCATCCATGGCGGGGCCGGGAGCAGTAGAGTCATGGTCGAGGGTACCAACGCCAGGCCCAGACAGCTGGATGCCGCTACGCTGGCGTTGATGACGAGCACCCGGCTTGGGTTTCAAAGAGGTGCGCGATGCAGACGAGTCGGCATGCGGCCGACTCCAGGGAGGAATGGCGGGCTGTGCGGCTGTCGACTCGACTGGTGAAGACGACGAGGAAACGGTTGTGGCTCCTCGACCGGATACTGGAGACGATACCGAGTCGGTATACGCTATGGATTTCCGCCGCGTTCGTGGGAAAAACCCCAATGTCCTCCGGGGGACGCGCCCAATCTCCACTGGTGCAGGAAACCCCTCAATATGCACCCACGACTCGTGTTTCCAGGTTCGGTCACCCTCAAACTCTGCCGCTGGAGCTGCAGGCGTTACCCCCTCAATGGACTCGGACGCAATAGGGGCTATGGAACTGCCGCTGAGGTCCTCTATAGACTCACGCTCCTGCCGAGCCTCACCCAAAAGATCCTCTTCTTCTATTTTAGGCCGAATAGGCCGTCCTTTGACCGAGCAGGAGCCGACCGGCAGAAGGACCGTTTTCCGGCCTTGAATGCTATCGCTAGGCCAAAATCCGTTGGCCTTCCGAAACACCGCAGGCTGACAACCGTATCGTATCGTAACCCCGGTGATCGTGTCCGTGGCTTGTACATGGTGTATATATGCTAAAGCGTCCTCGTCGTGGTCGGGGTCAACTGTCGAATGACCCGCCCGATCGCTAGAATCCCGCCGCTTGTGCCGGGCGGTGGTGCTCCAAGCCGGACCTGTGTCTGCCAACAACAGCGCTTCCCTTTTCTTTGCTTGCACTAACGCCTGTCTCTCCTCTTGGGTTCCGCTTCCGATTTCTGGGGTGGAAGGGGCAGACGGCCCCCATGTCGAAGGTGCCGTCCGTGCAGGCGGTCTCGGATAAGCATCCGGGCGCGATGGTTTTCTTGCATGCGTCTTGGTGGTTCCATTGGTGGCCGGTCGTGCGATATCGCTTCCTAGAACTGACGAGGCCAGACTCTGGAGCGACGTCCATGATACGTCCAAGAAGTCTACAGCAACTCGCAACTCAGTAAATCCATCTAGCTCTCCTTATCATGGCATAACCTACCTAGAGAATTATTTCCTTTGCTACGGCTGGCAGCTGCGGTAGCTCGAGAGGGGTGCCTCATGGGTATGGGGGACACTCCGCGGGACGGGTTGGGTGATGGCGTAGCACCGCGGGAGCGAACAGCGGAGGTATCGGGGGATAGCATTGACGACAGCCCGGAGGACTGCATTTGTCTCCCATTCTCGTCGGCATCATCATCGGTAAACGATATCAGACGGCGGGTGCGCGATCGCACGGTCGAGGTGGATCTCCGGCTGGTATTTGTCGTGCTCGCGGTCCCAAGGTTAAAGAGGTCGGCAAAGCCGCCGTTGGAACTCATCCCTGGCGACAAGGACGATAAGATAGATTGAAGGAGGGGCGGGTGTCGTCAGGTCACCGGCAGGAGCTCAGGGTTTGCGTGTGAGATCGCCCAGGCACAAATTGCCATCGGAGGTCTCTACGACAGACCATTCGTCATCCGGGCTCTGTAGTTATCGCATCCGTGTCCTGAAGCTCGGAGCTAGCACGGGATCCAACAACCGATAATATCACCTGTGTTTCGAGTTGATGAAACGGGGGCACAACCCAAGTCGCACGATCTGAAAGGTTGAATCCAGGGGGGGGAAACCAAGCGCTGAGGCCGACTTGGGGAGGTTGGGGGGAGGAGGAGGAGGAGGAGGAGGAGGAGGAGGAGGAGGCGCGGGATGAAGGAAGAGGGAGAAGTATGGAGTTTAGTCTCCTGTGATGACGACTCAAGTCGGCAGATCAGACGGCGGCAGGGCGGGGTGGCTGTCTCATGTTCTGCTCGGGGCGAGGTGAAAGAAGCAGCTGGGGATTTGCGATGCTTCGATGCATGCAGCGGGCAGGCGTAGAAATTGAAGCGATTGAAGCGAAGAGAATCCGATCGGCAAGAGGGCTTCCCAGCTGAAGGCAGGCCTCCGGGGCCATTACCTCGCCGTAACAATCTGTTGCTGCCTCTTGACGTCGGCCGGTGGCGTACCGGTACGTACCGTATGGGAATACCACGGATCGGCGGCGAGGCCTTCTTGGCCCCGTCCCTCGGGGACACTGGCCACGTATACGTACGATGGCATTGATATTTATCTACTTTATACAGAACAGGTCGGATGGTGAAATTCACGTTCCGGATTTCGTCAGCGGGTATATCGACTCTGGGTCTGTCCAGGTCGGCCGTTCCATCATGCAGATACTCGATGCATCCCAGATCCCTGGTACCCCCATACAAATCACAGCCATTATATCCGGTAGTATATCCACAAGGAAATGAAAGCAAAGAAAGAAACCCAACGCCTTGCCCTTTGCGCAGTACAGACCTAGAAGGGACACAAGATGATCTGCGAGTTCATACAACATTCAAGAAGGCGAAAGCCATCTACTCTGGCGGTTCGGCCATCTCCGCGGGGGTTCGTGCTTCAGCTTCAGATGCTGCTTCCGATTCGGTGCTCCATTCTTTCTCCGAGCCGGCTTTGTTCTGTAGCTGGGCAGGCGGGGGGATGACCCGGACTCCCCCGGCGCGCGTAAAGAAGTCTTCCGTACGAAGACCACGCACTTCTTTGGGGTTGACTGCTGTCATTTTGAGCCCATCTGCCTTTTTCTGACGGATTAATTCGCGCACCGGCACCATGGCGGCATCTCGACAGGCCTCCTTAATATCGCTCCCCGACATACCCGCCATGGCCTTGACGAGATACTGGAGATCAAAGTTATCCCGATCAACCTTGGTGTCCTTGAGGATTAAACTGAGAATCCTGAGCCGCTGCGCTGCAGGGGGTAGAGAGACGGGGAACTTTTTAGGCATCCGTCGGAGGATGGCCTCGTCGATATCTCCCATGCGATTGGTGGCGCCCAGGACGACCACTCGTTGAGGTTCACCCATCGAATTTGCTGATGTGAGACCGTCCCAATGGGTCATGAACTCTGCCTTGACCATTCCACTGGCCTCGTGCTCGCCGCTCCGTCGGGTTCCCAGCACGGCATCGATTTCATCGATGAAGACGATCGAGGGCTGCAACTTCCTGGCGAGCGAAAAGACAGCATTTACCAGCTTGTTCGAATCACCGTACCATTTCTCGGTCAGTGTAGAGATGTGTAGGTTAATGAAGCATGCCCCGCTCTCATGGGCCAGCGCTTTGGCAAGCATAGTCTTTCCGCATCCTGGCGGCCCGTATAGAAGAACACCAGATGGCGCTGTTAGAAGCGATGACGTTGAAGCGTAGAGGTGGGGCATCGTAAGAGGATAGATGACCGATTCTTTCAACTCCTCGATGATCTCATCCAGACCTCCGATGTCTTCAAATGATACCGAAATGTCATCTGGCGCAACGACATCCATGGCGATGGCCTGTTCATACTGATTGAGGACCAGATCACCCCTCTTTTGCCGGCGCGACCCCTTTCCTCCACGACGCGGTGAATCTTCATCTGACTCGTCTCCTCCGTCGAGTTTCCGTAGGATCGCGGCCGATTTGCGTCGTTGTTCTTCTTTCTTCTGACTCTCTGGGTCGAAGTCAAGGCGAGATAGGAGGTACCGGATAAGGAAGTATGCAGACGCCGACTAATAGCAACGGTTAGTCGCAACACAGGTTTCACAGCGCTATGAAACTTACGGTGCCCGCAACCATCACCAATTCTTGCAAGAACTGTTGCCATCGGGGACCGCGAGCTGAAGCCATGACGACAGAATGGCGGAGCAAAAAGACCAGTCGCTTCGAATATGCCCAAAACAAAAAGACTATTAGTCCCCAGAAATAACGTCCTTTAGAAAAGCCCCGAGTCCAGCACGGCAAGAAGTTCGATTAAACCTGGAACATGCATGCGATGAGGGTCGGAGCGGCCGTCGGCGACTGCCAAAGCAGCTGTGGCGCGGACCGGTCGGAGACGTGGCTTTGCCGACGGCGTCACATGCTGCCCTGCCACACTGTACTAGTAGTGTTGGCTGACTGGCTCACTGGCTGGCCCGCCTTCAACTTTCAGGGTGCTGCGCCCGGGGACCTTGCGGCCCGCCGTAGCCCCGTCCGTGTCGAATCGGTGGCCCGCCATTGGCTGCGGGCCTTCCCCAAGTTCCCCCAATTCAGGCACGCGGAAAAGTGCTCAGCAGCTGCCAGCCTGCTAAGGACTCACTGTCTCTTCCTAAGCTCGACGCGAGGAAGTGGTTGCATCGGCCTACCTCGCCGTCTTCTATCTTCTCTTTCTTCTTTGTATCTATTGCTTGATCTAATGGTTTCTCCACGTCCTCGGGACTCAATTTCACTCCTTTAATTAACCCTTTCCCCGAGTCGGATCTCCTGTATCGGAAATCATGGCGCGTCTCGGCCGTGTAGGGTTTCTCACCCTCGCGGTGGTGTTTCACTTAATTTACGCCTATTCGATCTTCGATATCTACTTTGTCAGCCCAATTGTTAGTGGTATGAAATCGTTTCGTGTGGAACGAGAACCCGATGCCGCTGCTCCCGCCAAACGTCTCGTTCTGTTCGTTGCCGATGGCCTGCGTGCCGATAAAGCCTTCCAGGCATTGCCTGACCCCGACGACACCACTGGAGAGGATACGGAGCCCATCTACCTAGCACCATACATTCGATCGAGGGTACTGTCCCACGGCACCTTTGGAATTTCCCATACTCGAGTCCCTACCGAGTCGCGGCCTGGCCACGTTGCGCTTATCGCGGGGTTGTACGAGGATGTTTCAGCGGTAACAACAGGATGGAAGCTAAACCCGGTGAACTTCGACAGCGTCTTCAATCGCAGCCGGCATACATGGAGCTGGGGGAGTCCGGATATTCTTCTAATGTTCCAGGAAGGCGCAGTTCCCGGAAGGGTTGACGCGGACACGTACGGAGAAGAGGCAGAAGACTTCTCATCTGACGCAACACTGCTGGACACCTGGGTCTTTGATAAAGTGAAGGAATTGTTTACTTCCGCCAAAACGGATCCTGAGTTGAATGCGAAATTGCGCGAAGACAAGTTGGTTTTCTTCCTGCACCTCCTCGGGCTCGATACGACGGGCCATGGATTCCGTCCATATTCGAAGGAATATCTGCGCAATATCAAACTAGTGGACAAGGGGGTGCAAGAAATCACGCAGCTGGTGGAGGAGTTCTATGGAGATGATGAAACCGCCTTCGTTTTTACGGCGGACCACGGAATGAGCGATTGGGGCAGTCATGGGGATGGCCATCCGGACAATACGCGGACACCACTCGTGGTCTGGGGCTCTGGGGTGTCCGGTCCTAGATACACTCAGGAAGGCACGCTAACGGGTCATGAGGATGGTGTCTCGTCCGACTGGGGCTTTGACAACATTCAGCGGAATGATGTTGCGCAGGCTGATGTTGCAGCCCTGATGGCATACCTTGTTGGACTTGACTTTCCTACAAATTCGGTGGGTGAGCTACCTCTGGAGTTCTTGGATGCCAGTCCAAAGGATAAGGCCCTTGCCGCGCTAGCCAATACTCAGACGGTCTTGGAGATGTACCGTGTCAAGGAGGAGCAGAAAAAGGCCGCCCTGCTTCGGTATAAACCCTTTGCGCCTCTGGCCGATCATGGCCAGACCTCGGTCGATGAACATCTTCAGGAGATAAAGGCTAAGATTGCAGACGGCTTGTACGATGAATCTATCGAAATGTCCTCTGCTCTCCTGGCCACTGCTTTGGAAGGTCTGCGCTATCTACAGACATATGACTGGCTCTTTCTGAGAACTATTGTCACATTGGGTTACCTAGGTTGGATCGCATATGCTCTAACCACGGTTATCGACTTGCATGTCCTTCATGGCACTGCTGACTCGAACCGGACAGTATTCAGCACTTCATTCTTCTCCTCTATCCTTGTTGCGCTTTTCTCTGTCTTTTTCTTTCAACGCTCCTCCGGGCGGTACTATTTCTATGGGTTCTTCCCGGTCTTTTTCTGGGAAGAGGTGTTTGTCCGACGAAAGGCTTTACTTGCTGGCCGGGAGATACTCATGAGTCATGTCCACTCAGCGAGTGGCTATGTCGCGTTTGGATTCCAGTCATTGATTTTTGTAGGCGTATTGGAGGCCCTGGTATGTTGCTACACTCTAAGGGACTGGACGGCCTGGCTAACGGTCGCTTATAGGTGCAATCTTACTTTCACCGCGAGATCTTTACCGTGTGCTTTATCTTGGGCGCTTCTTGGCCCTTGTTCTATGGGGTAGGATTTGTTAAGAAGCATGCTCTACTTTCTCTTTCATGGGCCGTCGGCTGCCTTCTCATGAGTGGCTTCACTTTGCTCCCGGCAAATAAAGTCGAAGACATAGGCATGATGTACGTTTTCCCGGGCGCATGGAAGTGACTTGCTGGCCTTGACTAATCGCACATGCAGAACCTGGAGCGGCCTGTTGATGTTCTTCACGGGCCTGTTGTACTTGCTCTTTGAAGATTACGTCTTGGGACAGAAGTCCTCAACTCAGTCATCCTTTGCCATTTCTAGCCGCGGCTCACGCACAATCATGGGCGCGCAGGTATGTGCGAATTTCCTAACATGGGGATAATCTGCTAATGCTAAGTAGCTGGGTATGGTCTTACTTGCCTTGATAGTCACGAGGTCTAGTGCAACTTCTATCCAAGCCAAACAAGGACTGCCGTTCGGCAATCAAGTGGTTGGTTGGTTCGTTCTAGGTAAGTGTTTAATGTGAACGGGAAACTCGAGCTGTCTACGGGCCATTCCCTATTATCTATTGTTTAGTATAAAGCTGCATCCCTGGCTAATACAGTAAACTAGTTGCATCACTCCTACTCCCGTTTCTCTACCGACTTTACTCGAATAGCCACTACCTGCATCGTCTGATGGTCCTCTTCCTCACTTTCTCCCCGACATTCATCATCCTCACCATTTCTTACGAGGGCCTATTTTATTTCGTCTTCTGCATGACCCTGGCCACTTGGGTTCGGCTAGAGCATGCCATTTATGTGTATACGGCAGCCACGAGAAATGGGTCCGCACCTTCCAAGAAGCCTGGCACGGAAGCCACGGCAGTTGTTGAAGGCCAAGCTTACCGCTACCGGACACTCGGCGTTTCAGATGCGCGTGTGGCTTTGTTTTTCTTCTTCCTCCTGCAATCCGCCTTTTTCAGCACCGGGAACATCGCATCAGTCTCCTCGTTCTCACTGGAGAGTGTGTGCCGGCTCATTCCGATCTTCAGCCCGTTCAGTCAGGGCGCCCTACTTATCCTGAAGCTTCTCATTCCCTTCGCAATCATCAGTGCTAACCTGGGCATCCTTAACCGCCGATTGGAGGTCGCCCCCAGTGCGTTGTTCATGGTTGTGATGTCGATTTCGGATATCATGACGTTGAACTTCTTCTACATGGTCCGGGACGAGGGCTCCTGGTTGGACATTGGCACGACGATCAGTCACTTCTGCATTGCCAGCTTCCTGTGCACGTTTGTGGCGGGACTGGAGTTCCTCAGCGAGGTGATGATCGGTGGAGTCGACTTTGGGCCCCGGGCGACGGCATTTGGAGCCGCTGTCGTCGAAGCTGTCAATGGATCGGCGGAGACCGACACCAGTGAAAAGCCAGGCGAAACGGACAGTCGCACCACCTAATAGATCTCAGGTCTGCGCGACTTTTGCAACGACGCGCCAGCAAGCTCCACCAGGAGATGTAATGAATCTTGTACATGTGTGATATAGTTAGATACGTGCATTGGACTAATATACACTACTCCGGATGAGGCGAAAGCCCCGGATCGTCCGAATTTCTATTGTTGCAGCCCGGGGTCGCAAGTCGTTTCCTGAAGGGTAAACGACATGTCCCGGACAAGATGTGTTTCTTGCAGCTCTAGTTTATATTTTGCTTCTGCACTGTTCCCGTCCTGCATGGGCTGTGAATTCGTGGGTTGGTGGTATATAGAGGCCTCAGCCGAGGTTTCACAAGCCGAAGGTGACGCCATCCAGCTGCCTGGGGGCGAGCCGTCTAGACCCGAGAGGGCAAGCTAAGATCGCTCCGGGTCGAGGGCATCCACCCAGGGCGCCCCCCCTGCATGGCTGACAGGCCAAGGGCTGAGTTGCGGGGAAGCCGCCGTTCGCAAGGCCAAGTCAGGCACGCCCATCCATTCTCCTTCCGGCACAATGGATCGAGTCCCTCGTGGATACTGGAACATAATCCCCGGTGACATCGGGGTTCGCGAGCGGGGGGGCAGAACCCCGAGGACGCTCAGAACGGCATGGACTGCGAAGGATGGGCCGCTGGGACTTCCCATTGGGTTGGGAGCATCGTGATTCTCTAACCGGGATTCTCCTGCATTAACCTGAAGACACGCAATGAGGGCGGGGAGGGTTGCGGTAGGTTGAGGGCCCCTGATGGGGGTTGGCTCATGCAGGATTCCCCATGATTGATTAATCCCTCATGGACAGGTGGGTGAGATTCCCCGATAAGCCTCCGTCTGGATAATCCTAGACAAGGATATTATGATGACTGGTGGTGGTGTTGGACAAACTACGAAAGCATGTTCGACACGCCCGGGGGACGGGCGCGCTAATTAGCATGAGAACCAAGATTTGTGGTCAGATGAGTCGGACCCAAAAACTGGAACGGTGCTCGTACTAGAGACTCGGAGCTTTCCACGTTCGGGTTTCCAGGAGTCCTTGCTCCGTAGTAGAGACTCCATAGTAACTAGATAGACATTCTTCCTCCATCTCCGTTGTCTCTCCTCCGATGGCTGCCTCTTCTGCTTGTGTTCATGGGGTTGGTCCTTTTATTTCCGCGACCGATGCACAAATGGGCATAAGCGGAATTCTAATGACGACGAAGCAACCGGCGGACTCCACTTGTGGAGTGGAAAAAGAAAATCAACAAAGAAGCTTAAAATCCACGGGAGAATGCATTATTATCATTATTAATGGAACCTGCACACCTGTTGTACAGTAGTGCGAAGTGAAGGAGGACCCGATGCATCTGCTGCGACATTTGGACTCGAGCATTCGATCGTAGATCCTACTTGATACTCGATGAAGATGAAAAGATACCCATCGGGATTCCTTCTCTAGGATTGTACGGGGTACTTCAAAGGATCCGTTCGGGGTTAGGGCGCCGAACGAAGTAGTACCTACTGGGTGCACTCTTCAGACAGCTGGGGGGGGAGGTGACGATTTCCCCCCCTTCATCATCATCTGTCAATGTCTCATGAGTCATGACATTACAAAGCAGTCGTATTGTGCTTACCTTTTGAGGCCGTGGCTCCAGGAGCATCATGCCCCAATCCACAGGATCAACCCGTACCTGAACCGTGTCTTCCGGGTTGAGCAAGGCCTGAAATAGCTACACACCAACGCGATGGACCCTGGCTGGATCCCCTAAAGGCCTTGGCCCGACCGTAATTTCTGGACCGACGACAGGGAACGAAGCAATACTAAGCAACCTTCTCCACAGTTCCGGCTTCCCCCCTCCCCCTTCTGCCTGGGAGTCCCTCCGTTCAGTCACAGTGTTCCCTCCGACTGCCTGACGCCACCCTGCAGGGCCACACCATCAGTCCGCAACGCTTTCTGCTGCGGATGCCATTGGGTTGACTGGACCTGGTTCCTTTCCTTTGCCAAAGTCAAGTCGCAGGTCGCAAAGAGTCGCAACAGCAGTGATCGCCTCGCGGGTTCCTGAAGTCCCTCCCCCAGTCTTTTTATTTTTATTATTATTCTTATTCTTATTCTTATCATCCCGGGAATTTTCTCCCCTGCCCCTCCTGGTCCATCGTCGTTCCTCTCCTCCCTCCCCTGTGACCTCCGCCAGACCCCATCCATCGCATCCATCGGTCGGGTGGCGTTCAGTTCCTCTCCCCTCCTGCTTGGTGCTTGGCCTGTTCCGTTCCGTGCTTCTGCTAGTCCAGAAGCTGTCCCAGACGGTTTAGAAAAAGCAACCCACCAGTCACCACTCACTCACTGCCTCCCAGGCTCTCACATTGCCATCGTTACTTTTTCCCCTCGACCTGCCCTCACCTTTCCTTTCCTGCCGTCTGACGTATTTTCCTCTTTTGCCCTTTTTGCGATTCCCGATTCCCAAACCTTAACGAATCTCCCGACCCTATTTTTTACGGCCCTCGCTGATTCAGCGCCCATTTCTTTGTCGCAAAGTCTCTGGATGGATACCTGGTGGCCATGAGCACGGCAGAAAACCACTCAGATCCAACAGCCTCCAAAACCAGCCCAGCCCCAAGTACAGCGGGCTCAACAGGGACCTCTGGTATTACTGTGCGCACGGGATCTAACGGACACATGAGTTTCAGAAGGTGAGTGGTGACAGTTCGGTCGTTGCTTTTGCCCGTTTGCGCTCGCGGGGCTGTGGTGAGGATGAAGCGCCTGAAAGCCAGGCGCAGACCCTCAAACCGCGATCCGGGTGGCTACCGGGCGAAAAGTATAGATTCAAAATTGGTCGAGACCTTCGAGAAGCTAACCTGCTTTATCTAATCGCCTTCTCCAACAGACAACGTGCGTCGCGTGCTTGTGAGGTACGTCTTGCTTCCTGCGAGGTCGCGTTTGTGCTGGGAGCCTCGGCACCTCGGCTCAAGCGCAGCTTGTTCCCTCTCTCCCTACTCGCCCGCCCGCAGACTATGCGACGGCTCCCTCAAGGACAAGGGCAATCCAACCACACTTACTCCAATTACCAAGACTTTCTTTGGCTAACATCATTCTCTTGCGCTTGTTAAGACATGCCATGCTCGAAAAGTGAGCCTCCCCCTTTTCTTGAAACCTCCCGTCCCCACCCAGATGGGTGCCTCCGGGCCGTGTTTTGCGGTGCGCCCGAGATTTTGACGACCGACCGAGCTTGCTAATCATGCCACTCCAATGACCAGGTTCGCTGCGATGCGGCCAGTCTAGGTGTGCCATGCACCAACTGCGTGGCCTTTTCGATCGAGTGCAGAATCCCTACGCCGAAACGCAAGAAGAACCAAACCAAATCGAAGGATAATACAAGCGGGTATGCCCCTCAATGCTCCCTCCCGTCCTCATGGTACACTTTCACTGACCATGCCATCCCTTGGTCTTACTAGAGGTGAGGAAGTCGAAGCAAAATCGCCGCCGAGCAAGCCGGAGCCACCAGCAATACCGAGCGGCAAGGATGCCTTCGGTTATCAGAGCAACCCAATGGCCGTCGACGGGATGCCGGTTACTACCCTCACGGAAACACAGGCCGCTCAACAGGCTTCCCATAATTCAATGTACGCCCAGTTTATGAAGCCCAAGTTTGCGCGCGCCCCGATAAAGGAACCAGGACGGGTTGCCTATCTCGGCGAGTCGTCAAACCTATCGCTCCTCGTTCAGGATCGCCATGGGACCACCGATGTTGTACACTACCCTCTGCCTCCCAACATGGGAGGCACGCCCGCTCGGTTGACGGACCTGGACAGCCTGGAGTTGGATATTCTGCACCAACGTGGTGCCTTCTTGCTGCCGCCAAAGCCCCTGTGTGACGAGCTGGTCGACGCCTACTTTAAATGGGTTGCCCCCGTGGTCCCCATCGTTAACCGCAGCCGCTTTTTGCGGCAATATCGGGATCCGAAGAACCCCCCATCTTTGCTGCTTCTCCAAGCCATTCTTTTAGCTGGCTCGCGGGTCTGTACCAATCAGCAACTGATGGACGCCAATGGTTCAACCACGCCAGCTGCCATGACATTTTATAAACGGGCAAAAGCACTCTATGATGCGAATTATGAAGATGATCGTGTCACCATCGTCCAAGCGCTGGTTCTTCTAGGCTGGTACTGGGAAGGGCCTGAAGGTAGGCATAGTTGTGCATGCAACTCGTGCCCTTGACCCCTACAGGAGCTTCGCTAACACGCCTTAGATGTCACGAAAAATGTCTTTTACTGGACAAGAGTGGCGATGGTCGTTGCTCAGGGTTCGGGTATGCATCGAAGGTATGTTTAGCTCTTATCACATTCTGCGCATTTTGTAGAAGACTTATTGATGGCGCTGCAGCGTGGAATCTTCCCAGCTTAGCAAGCCTGACAAGAGGCTCTGGAAGCGAATCTGGTGGACCCTCTTCACGAGAGACCGATCGGTGGCTGTCGCGCTCGGACGGCCCATCGGCATCAACACCGATGATTCGGACGTGGGGATGTTGACCGAAGATGATTTCATCGAAGACGAGGTCGATATTGTTGCGGAGTATCCGCCCGACCCGGTCCACGTACAATTCTTCCTTCAGTATGTCAAGCTCTGCGAGATCATGGGCTTGGTTCTTTCCCAACAGTACTCGGTGGCCTCGAAATCTAGGCGAATGAATGCTATGGATCTCACCCACTCGGATATGGCATTGGCAGACTGGCTTCAAAACTGCCCTAAGGAGGTGTGTTGGCAACGGCAACGGCATCACTTCTGGGCAGCTCTTCTTCATGCCAATTATTAGTGAGTTATTGCGAGATGATGATTCGTATGCTTTCGCGCTAACTTGACCTAAAGCACCACGCTTTGTCTTCTACATCGAGCACACATGCCGCCTGCGTCTTCTGTTTCGAGTAATTACCGCGTGGAAGAGATGGCGTACCCATCGCGAACGATCGCGTTCCAGGCTGCCGGAATGATCACCTCGATTGTGGAGAACCTCCAGAATCACCATGAAATCCGATATGCGCCTGCCTTCATGTAAGATGACACATCTGCCAGATGCGGATAGCGCGCTGACCCCTGTACAGTGTCTACAGCTTGTTCTCGGCTTTGATTATGCATGTCTACCAAATGCGATCATCCGTTCCCTCAATTGTGGCTACCTGTCAGGAACGTATCAACATCTGCATGCAGGCCCTTAAGGACGTGTCCAAAGTTTGGCTTGTGGCCAAAATGGTGCATACGCTTTTTGAGTCTATTCTTGGAAACAAAGTCCTGGAAGAGCGCCTTCAGAAAGCTGCAGGCAGAAGACATCAGAGAGTACGGCCCGAGACGATGCAACAGCCGCCTGCGAAGAGGCCCGAACCCCCGAAGCGCAAGTTCGATGAGATGGAATTCGGCTTGCCCAATGGGGGACGTCCCACACCGCCGGTCTCTTACGAGCGATCTCGTCCTCAAACGCCTGCAGTCACCCCCTCAAGGGAGATGCAGCCTCCTGGTCTAAGCTTGCCTCAAGGCTCTCCTCCAGCCCCAGGAGGGCCGGGAGTTTCTCGCGGAAATACGCGCCCGACGACCCCTTTCAACCAATTTTCCTTGCCTGCAACGCCACCGGATCTATTCCTTGTTACGCGTACCTCTCCCAACCTTTCCCCGTCCCTTTGGGAGAACTTCCAGCCGGACCAATTGTTCCCTGATGGCACAGCATTCTTCCCAGAATTGACGTCTCCCCAACCGAACGCGGTTGACCCGCAACTCCAGATGCAGTCTCAGCTACAAGCTCAGAACATGGACCAGCGGCCAATAATTCCTCAACAAATGGCGGCGCGCGGCAGTCTTTCTGCCGCTCAGGGTAGTCCAGAGGTTATGTCGACTCTGACCCCTGGGATCAGCCTGCCAGGTCAGCAACCACAGCAGGTGTTTGGGTTAGAGAGCCAGCAGGGTTGGCCGATGCAGAGCATGGACGCTGCTTTGGGTGGGGCGACGATGGATGCTGCAAGCCAGGATGACAACTGGAGTAGTAGCTCACGGAGCGGGCCGACAGCTCCAACCACTCTCAATGTGGAGGACTGGTAAGTTTTCTGCGACTTGGGCTGAGGCTATCCGCGCGCATGGGTGATTAGAACCACTAACCAATGCTCTTCTCGCAGGTTCCAATTCTTCGGCATTAACGGTAGTTTTGGCGACCTGGCAACCTAAGCGGTGTCGGGCTTGTGGATTCTCTTCTTTTTTGTGATCTAACAGGGCGTGGGCGGTTATTTGATGGATGTACGGTCGTGCTGGGCTACATCACCAATACCACGTGCAGGTGGTTCTTCGGAAGGGTGTAGCATGCTATGTATTTGGCTACGGTGGATCTCATGTTCAGCTCTTCCTGGTCGTTGGAGGTATGGGCTAGTGTCATTCCTCGGGACGGAGTAAGGAGCATTGGGCGAATGCGCCCGACATTCATGTGTATAATGACCTCAGTGGCAGATTTCGAGTTGATGCACTCTGCCGTGCAACCTAGTAGATAATGATATCGAGCCCTCTGGGCCGAAGAAGGCCGCCTCCATCCTCGTACACTTGATAGTTGATACCTCAGGCGATGGATGAGTCAGTGGCAGGACGCGTCCCGACTGGGCCTAGCGGATGACGACATCGCGGCCTGGCCGGTTCAACCAATGACAGGGCACGGGATCTGGGGCAATCCTTACCGACTTGGGCAACGGCCAATGCTGACTACGACTCGGGGTGACTCTTCTGGGGAAGATAATAATTTCGCCCTTTTCCATACCAGCACCTTTGCTATCCCATCATTCTTTGGCAATCCCATTGTTGTTTTTGCCATTGTCATCGCTCTTCGCTTCCATTCCATCTGCTCTGCCGTCCTGTGGTGTCTATCACCTCACCTCAACCCCTTTCCATCGCCCTTTACGATCCCCCCCGCCGCCCCGTCCCCGCAGCGATGTCGGCCTCAGGATCCGGTGGTGATGCCGTGAAGAAGGCCTTCCCTCGTGTCGACCTCGAAGGACACGATCTGCCTCCCTCCCCCGCCCCTTCTAGCCCTCACGCTGGCAGACGCTACAACATTGCCACGGAGCTAGTATACACGGAAGGAAATGATCAGTACAATGCCAGCAGCGTTCCGATCTATCAGGTACTAATCAATTCCCCGGCGTATTCCATCGCTCGGGTCACACCATCGGATATGGGTGATCAGGCTGCGGAGAAGGAGCTAATTGATGTCTCTGTAGAGTGCTACATTCAAACAGACTTCCGGTGGCGGAGGCGGCGAATATGACTACACTCGCTCCGGAAACCCTACTCGGACGCACCTGGAGCGACACCTTGCCAAGATCATGTCTGCCCAGAGGGCTTTGGTTGTGTCTTCTGGCATGGCTGCTATGGACGTGATTTCCCGCCTGCTTCGTCCTGGTGACGAAGTGGTGACCGGTGACGACCTGTACGGTGGCACGAATCGCCTCCTGAAGTATCTGTCCACGAACGGCGGTATCATCGTCCACCATGTTGATACTACGGCACCCGAAAAGGTGCGCGAGGTCTTGACCTCGAAAACGGCCATGGTCCTGCTCGAGACGCCGACCAACCCGCTCATCAAGATCGTGGATATTCCCGAGATTGCCGCGGCCGCCCACGAAGCGAACCCCAATTGCATTGTGTCTGTCGACAACACCATGATGTCTCCTCTTCTGCTCAACCCTCTCGAGCTCGGTGCGGATATTGTGTACGAGAGTGGTACCAAGTACCTGTCCGGTCACCACGATCTCATGGCCGGTGTGATCGCGGTTAACGACATGGCTCTCGGCGAGCGACTGTACTTCACGATCAACGCTTCCGGCTGCGGTCTGTCCCCCTTCGACTCGTGGCTGTTGCTGCGTGGTGTGAAGACCCTCAAGGTCCGGATGGACCAGCAGCAGACCAACGCACAGCGCATTGCCGAGTTCCTTGAAAGCCACGGCTTCAAGGTGCGGTACCCTGGACTCCGGTCGCACCCGCAGTACGAGCTGCACCACTCCATGGCCCGGGGCTCGGGAGCTGTGCTTTCGTTCGAGACCGGAGATGTGGGAGTGAGTGAGCGGATTGTTGAGAGCGCGAAGCTGTGGGCTATCAGCGTCAGCTTTGGCTGTGTCAACAGCTTGATCAGTATGCCGTGCCGCATGAGCCATGCCAGCATTGACGAGAAGACCAGACGGGAGCGTGCGATGCCCGAGGATCTTATTCGACTGTGTGTGGGTATTGAAGATGTGGATGATCTCATTGATGATTTGCAGCGGGCGGTAAGTTTTTTCTAATCTCTCCCCTCTTTGGGTGCTTCATCAAACTAATATGGAATCTAGCTGGTACAAGCTGGCTCTGTGAATGTCACGCTGGACGGATTCCAGGCGAACCCGGCCAACTAAGCTAAGCTACGGATGGTATTCATTCTATCCTCGGTATTTGGGGCATGGATTGAGTGCTGCGGTCATGATTAAGAGACGATCATTTTGGCGTTTGGGAGCATTTATCATGTGTGTGTAAAACCCGGGAATGAAATCTTAGAATGCACTTTTTTTTTTTGTTTAGCCGACGCGTGTTACGGTAGAATGGAGGCCCGTCGGCAGTTTTGGCCGCCAGCTCGGCCGGCATCGGAGGGCCGTTCCGAGGGGTTTTGCAAAAAGCTGCCCTCATCATTGGCCGGGCGGTTCTCGTCCGCTGCAGTTCGCCCATTAATTAATCCAGATTAATCTGATGTGATCTCTCTCTCTTCTCACTGCTGCATGCCTGGCGTGAGGCTAACTCCAAGCTACCTACCTCCACGATGGGCGTCTGAGCCGTCGGGCTTCCTTACCTTAATCCCTCGTTGACGTTTCTTCTCCGAGTGAGACCTGTTCGCCTTCGTCAGTCCCTCCCGGCAATTGTCTTCTCCTGCGCCTATCTGGATGACGTTATATTAGCCATCGCAGTTACATCCCTTCGTCCTTGTTTTCCTCGTTCTTTCTTTCTTTCTTTTTTCCCTTCGTCTGTCTCACTTCGTCTCCGCTTCCTGCTTCCATCCCCGACCGGCCACCATGCCTCGGAATGCGCTCTCCCCCGAAGCGCCGCTCACCATGTCGACAATCTCTGAGCAATCCATATCGACTGATTGGAACACCAACCGCTTGGGCGCGCGACTGGGAGTCGACGTTGCCAGCGCGGCGACTGCAGGAGCCTTGACATGCCCGGTCATCACGGTCATCGACCGGTATGCTCTATCTCGCTCGATTTCCACCTGCCGGGAAGCAAAACTAACCGACCTCATTATTCAGTGCGATCATCGAGAAAGCAGCAAAAGGCGTCCCCATCCGCCAGACCATAACCTCCTGCTTCCGATCCATGATCACGAAACCCGCGGGCTTTTTCCTCAGCACTCCATTCCTCCTCATCTACACGCTGTACACGGCCACCTACCTGACCGCGAACACGATTGACACGTTCACCTCCACCATGCGCAACAAGCCCTTCGAAACCGTCTTTCCCGGCACCGCCAAATTCCTCACCACCACCGCAGTGAACATGGGTATCTGTGTATATAAGGACGCCAGATTCGCGCGCATCTTTGGCGCATCCTCTCCTGCATCTGCATCTGCATCCACATCCGCATCTCCGTCGGCGCCACCGTCAAGATCCCCATCCGCGTCCACATCCGCCCCAGCCTCCTGTCACCCCTCGGGGGCCGCCAAAGTCCCTAAGATCTCATACTCTCTTTTCTGCCTCCGCGATAGCATCACCATTTTCGCCTCCTTCAACATCCCCGCGCTCGTCGCCCCCTCCATTCCGGACGCCATTGCCTCCACCCCCGGAATGAAAGCCGCCCTCGCGCAGTTCTCTTGTCCCGCTCTGATGCAGTTCGCCAGCACGCCCATGCACCTTCTCGGTCTGGATCTATATAACCGGCAGCCGCCGGGAGGATTAGGCTGGCGCGAGCGCGCCTCGCGCATCCGACGCGACTACATCCCGAGTTGCTTTGCGCGCATGGGCAAGATCGTGCCCGCGTACGGCGTGGGCGGTGTGGTCAATGTCCGGATGAGAGCATCTCTGATGGACTATTTGGAGAGGACGAAGAATTAGCCCTTTTTCCTTTATTTTTACCTCATTCACACTCTTTACCTACTACCATCTAGACTCCCTCTCAATTTCCAGCATATGATCCTTGGATCTTGTCGAGGTACATACATACAACATGCATAGACAGATGACGCACATTTCTGTTCTATCTCATCATCATCATCATCATATTTCTCATACTCTCCCCCCTTCCCTCCATTCCACTCTCCACTCCTAGAGACCTTACAGATTCCTCCCGGGTTGGCGTTGTTGTTTGATCATTCATTCATTGTTATCCCTTTTTCGGATCGGTGTTAGGGGTATAGATCTAGAGTTGTTTGTTGATCCTAGCTAATGTTTGGTTGATGATGAGATGTGCTTCCTTTTTTACTTCCTCCTCTTCCTTTTTTATCTGCTTGATTGGTTTTTGGTTAGATGATGACGACCTAGATTTTTGCTGCTCAGTGCATTTATTATGCTTGCCTGCTTTTTGAAGGGAAGGTTAGATGAGACACCTATCTACTTTTACCTCTGTTGTTGGTAGTGGTGGTTGATCTTGTTGGATTGCTTGGCTAGATGATATGATATATCGATCATTGTTGATCATAGAATTATATTTGATCTGACCTCATCGGATTTAGTTCGTTTTGGGTAGAATTGTCTATTGATTAAGAGTGAATGGGGGATTGGGTTTACCAAATGAGTATAGTATCCTCTTACACTTCATCTTATTTTGCATATGAGTAGTTATCTGAGAGTCGAGGGGAATCAGTACGACTAACAATGATCTTGCTGTACAAATGAAACTCGCGTACTTACATATAGTAGTAATATGCATCACGTTACATTTGATGGGGAAAGAAAATATTGTTCCATCCCTACTGTTATTTCTTGGAACGTGCTTTTGAATTATAGGATGGATGCATTGTATAGCTCGCGGCTATTTCCTATCTGCAGAGAAAGAGTATGAAAATCGAGAGGGGGGTAAATATGTACGTTCTGTCATGCTCTTGAAATATAGGCAAGCCAAGGCAAGCAGGATGTCTGTACAGTATACGGATCCGACGCCGGGGTATCCAGGTGCTTTAAGATGTCTATTATTTACCACCTGTTTACCTGTAAGTCAGATTATATTCTGCATCGAGTGAGAGGTTTCAGGGCGGGGTTAGAACTCACGAAAACGGTTCCGTATGTAGATATACCTCCTCCACGGAGCTGTTCTTTCGAATCACCTGGCTTTGTGCTTCCGCGGCTGCATTCCGCACATCCTGGATCATCGACGCCGGTCCGCAGGTGAAGATGGCGATGTGGCGCGCCGTGTGTGATGTCGTGCTGGCGGCGATGATCCCTTGGATGTCGGGTCGGCTTCCTACCTGGACCTTGTCTGAATTTAGGTCTGTCTGGGATGGGATGCGGTGTATGGAGTCTGGGGAACTCCCTTTTTCGCCCGAGGAGGGGAGGAGGGGGGAGCCGGACGCTGGGGTGGGGAGGAGGGTTGATGAGGTGATGTAGATGGATAGGGAGATATTGTCGTCGGGAATGCCATAGGCTGCTAGTTTGGATTTGATCTCTTCCCGGTACCACTCTGCTAGGGTGTGGGTTCGGGTTGCGAAGTACACTTGGATGGTTGGAGTGGGTTGAGTGGGCTGGTGATGGTACGATTTGAGTGCTTCTTCGAGGATCGGGAGGGAAAAGCCGCCACCGGTGCCGCCGGTGATGAGGATGACGGTGTCGAATCGTGCAAGGTTGGTGGACTCGGATATCCCGCCGTATGGGCCTTCGAGGAACACGGTCTCGGATGAGTTGGGCTTCTCGAGGGCGGTGTTTCCCAGGCTGGCGGTCAGTCCTCGGCGTGGCTTGATGTAGAAGATGATTTCTGGCGCTTTGCCGGTTTTCTCGGGGTCGTGGTGGAGGGAGCAGATGGTGAACGGATGGGTACTGAAGCAATGGATACCTCGTTGGAGGCTGAGAAATCGGACGAAGACGTGTTGGCCTGGACGCCAGGTCATGATGGTAGGAATCCTGACTCGGACAAGGCCGCAGGGGAGCTGCTCGATTATGGCTGTGTGGCGGCCATGCATAAAGTATGTGCGGATGTTGGCTATACAAAGGCTGAAGAGGTAGATAGCCCCCGTGGCGATGAAGTAGTCCCTGATGGTGTGAGCGTGACAGGATTATATGGGGTCTCTGGAAGCGTACCATGAGGTCAGACGAAAGTCGCAGTGGAAGAAGAAGAATATGATGAATAGCAAAGCGGCGAGAAAGTGGGTGGCCTTGAAGAACTCGTAGAAACGATTCCTGTAGGGGTCAGCTTGGCTTGTTCGGCGATGGTATAGATTGGTCTCACCGGATGGCTGGCAAGGACATAAGTGTCAAATATGCCTGCGGAATTAAAGCAGCAACCCCGGTCCAATAGGTCACTTCGGTTTTCCACTGCTCAACCATATCACCTTTATCAATGTGATAGACTATGAACGGAAACGTATGTACGAGCGCCAGGACAAACATAGCGTAACTGGTCCAATGGTGGAAGACCTGAGCAGTCAGCTTGTGTCTCAATCAGTCGGGGCTAGACATACTTGAAGCTTCTCATGAGGTACCCCAGTCAATGCTGAAATAAGATTGGCTTTTGCACTCAGTGCCCTGCTCGAGGTTAGCACCTGGTGATACCATCATACTTCGGATGTCACTGACAAGACAAATGGCAGTAAAGCCAACGCCATCCACCCGCTTCTCGTTGCAATCGGTGGGCTACTGCCATAAGAGACCGTTGCCGTATTGGGCCAGTAGTAAGGCCGGGGCCCTAGGGTCATGGCTGTCAACGGTCAGCCAAAGTTCCGATTCATCAGAATGCAGTGAGCCAACCCAAGAAGAATACGGTTCCTATCACCCCCAGGAGAATGACCCCCAGCGAATAGGTGCAGGAACGCAACACGGGTAGTTGGAAGCATTTGTAGGTGAGATATCTCCCTGCTGCTATTGATCGTTGCCAGACGGTAGATCTCTTTAATGGGAGCGGGCTGTGCTTGGAAACCAGGTGCAGTATAGTGAAAACACCGACAGTTGCACATAAAAAGTATATAGTATTTAAAGCGTAGACATGGTCAGATTGGTACCTATTGACAGCGTCATCAATATCACATTAGCTACACATGAGAATCGGAGAAAGGTACCAGTATCTCCAATGCCCGTAGCGATAGGCACACTGTTCTGGTGTCAAGGAGCAATCATCGGCTCGAGAAGAATGTAGCAGAACCGGTTGGTCCAGCCATGGAAGCCCCATGTTGAAAGGTTATTGTCCAGAGACGCCGGTCGACTAGGTTTTGTCCGACAATGCTCTGTATGACCATTACACCACAACGTGGTTCTAGAAGCCAGGGATATGGTCATTTCTAAGTGAGACCATGTGCCCCAAGGCGTGGGTTTTGAACAAACCAGGTAGGAACCCCAGAGGGAGGCGATGTAACAACATGGCCCAGTGATTCCTGATGGACTGACAACCATCACCCGTGGTACGAGTCATGGGCCTCCCGACCTAGCGGAAGCAGCAGCCTTGCCCCGAGCCATGTCGTTGTCCAGTAACAACCGGGTGCTCATTGGCCGGAAGGTGCTCACAATTGAGCAGATTTCTGTGTTTAGCGTGGAATGTATACGCATTCGGGCCGTGTGCCGGGAGACTAGCTAGCCGATCGTCATATTCTGCTATGACACTTAGCATAGTGACTTGTTGTCTGGGAAGTAGAATGAGTGGGCAGTTACCAGGCCGTTTCTGTTTTCCCAGCCCCTCTCTCCAGTCTCTTACATGGGCTGGTGAGCAGATTTGCGCGGGATCACTAGAGTAGAAGTGGAATTCTGATGCATTTGGATATTCTCGCGCCTCTGGCCGATGACCCGAGAGTGGATCCCGGGAAAAGGCAAATTGAAAGCAAAAGCAGATGAAGATTTCGTCATTGAGTAGACATCTAGTATGTAGCGAAGGAAAGAGAGTGAAACGAAGGAATGCAACGTCGCGATGGAGACCATCGTTTGCGTCCCCGATGCGGCCTAGTGTGGGTCCGTGACCGGGAGCGCCGCGAAACCCGCCGGCGCCTCGTCGTTCTTCTTCCCTGCTTTGCCAATAATCTCCGACGCCATTCCGCCGCTTCCCCACAGCATATGGTCCTTCAACGCTTGGTATCCTCCCCGGAGACTGTCCGCTTCGATCCCCTTCGCTCGCAGCACACTGGTGGCTACCCGCGCGGTATCTCCATTGTAACAGATCACCAGGACGTGATGGGCGTTCAGTTTACTAAGAACGCCCTCGTTGCTGAACAATGCTTCCAGCTCCAGCCACTGCGCCTTCAGCACAACTGGCTCAGAGAATGGCCTGGGCGTATGAGAGTCCAGGCTCTGCAGGGGAATGCTCACTGATCCCGGAAGGTTCCAAGTGGCAAAGTCCACCGCTGTTCTCAAGTCCAAGATGCAGCACAGAGGTCGGAGTACCATGCCGCTCAAGAGGTTGGGCGAAAAGCACCGGGGGGATTCGTAATAATGAGTGAACAATACGACGGGGCTCCTCTCCCAGCTCTCATCATATCGGTAAAGATCAACGCAAGCGAGGCTCTGGAAGAAGGGTGTCAAAATCACCTCAGCTTTGGGGTTCAAGATCGCTAACCTACCTGATTTTGAATCGGAGGGAACTTCTCGGGCCCTAGTTTCTGAAAGTACTCGCCAATGTATTGATATGGCAGATCGCAACAGAGGAACACACAGTGAACGGAACCATCTGGTCCCACTAGCTGTGACAAGGTACCGGCAGCTTTCCGTTTCTCTAGCATCTGGAAGAGGCCTGTCAAATTAAACCCGGATGACGGCCCACAGACGATCCCTTCTCGACACAAGTCCAAGGATAAGGAGTATGAGTCATGTGAGTTGACTTCTTCGAGCGCATCCAGTGCGTCCCTCCAGGGGAACTCCACGGGCTTCATTAGGGCAAATGACCGTGGTCCCGGGACCCGGTCCCCTGGCGCAGTGCAGACACCGAGCCGTAACACAGATGGCTTGGCTCCTTGGAAGTAAGTCCCCAATCCGGTCATTGTGCCAGAGGTGCCCATGCCAGCACAAATCACATTGATCTCCGGGAGCTGCTTGAGTATCTGGGGGCCGGTCCACCGGATGTGTGCATGCCAGTTGTCATCGTTCTCATACTGGTTGGGGTTGACAATATCATTGGACCGTGTGGCCATTACGCGGGCATTTTGGATACCTCCGCGCTCATCATATGGTTCCGGTTGAGACGGGCCACCGAACAGCGTGATGTGAAGGCCAAAAAATTGCATCAACCGTAGCTTGGCCTCGCTGGTCTTGTTACTCAAGAAGGCTCGCGTGTCGCTAATGCCGTGCATCACACGAGCGATCATAGACATTGAGATCACGGTGGATCCCGAGCTGTATTCGACAATCGTCTTCGTCCTGCCTGGCACCACAGCGGACTCAAGCATGTTCATCGCTGATTTCATCAGTGCCAGTGCCAGCCACCAAAGTTTCACCCACTGAGAGCAGACATACCTGGCATGGCTTTCACATTGTTTGCCGGGTGCATGGTCATCATTTTGGCATAGATCCGTACGCCGTCCTGGTGGTATGGATTCAATCGCTGGGGCAGCTCCACCAGCGGCAAAGGAGGCTGGGAGTCGGGGTCAAAGTACTTCTTGAGCGCATCCGGACCAAAGTATACATTATGTTCGTTACCGTTGGCCATGATGTCAGAGCTTGAACCAACAGGTGAGTAGCAATATGAATAAACCGGCATGGAGGGAAAGGAACATCATATTATAGGGCTCTGCTGCCAAAGGGTGCCGTGACCCCTCACTGCACTAGATGTGCTTTTTCTGGCGGCAGAATCGCATTCGGCGTATGATGCTGATGACCCACTGAGGCATCATGGTGTACATCCAGAATCCGCTTCAGGCAGTTCCTCGTCTCGCATTAAGCAGGTGCTGATGTGGCGGGCGTGAATCTTGGTTCAGCGCAACATTCGGATGATCAGTATCTTGCAGAAGTCACTCTTGAGGTCTAACTCGATAAGGACGGGCAACACGTAGATGGGGCCATGACATCTGGCAGCTTACTCAATCATGAATCAAGCAAATATTTTAATGCCGATACAACCAGAAAGATCGCCATAATCCATGAAAGAGAGTATGTATGACAAAGATCTACACGGAAGGACGAGGGCATTTGAGCAGGTTTTGGTCGATCCTTTTCCCTCTAACCCTAACCGGCGCTGGGTTGGCTTCTGCGGACGAGAAGCCATCTGTTCTATGTACTCCTCGACTATTCTGATTGCAACTGTGTGAAACATCTCTTATCGGTTTATACGATTCCGGCATCGCGGTCTTGATTCGGTCAACCCCTGGTTTAGAAGTCTATCGCGTCGCCGTTACGGTGCTAGGGGTCGACTTTATCTCAATTGACCTTTTTCAATTGCCTTTACTCCGGATTCTTTAGTTTCGTATCGCACTGCGAACTGTTGAGAAAACATAGATGTCTAAGACTTTGATTAACGAGGAGCCCAAGCAGGCAGACTCATCACCTGTCTCCCAAGATGTTGCCGCAGAATCAATCAGTGGAGAGACGAAAGCAGCAGCACCGCATGTCTTCAATGAGCAGACCAACTATGTCCCCAGGAGCACTATTATTATGGTAGGTCATTATCGTATGGATCTTGGGTCATCGATAGCTAACGTGCCAATGGATATTCCTGGCTTGCGCGGCAGTCGATCTGGTAGCAGTCATGGACCAGACCACGCTGGCAGGGAGTCTATCTATCATCGGAAATTCCCTGAACGCCAGCAACCAGACGTCTTGGATATCTGGAGGGTATTTTGTGTATGTCGGGTTCAATGACCAAAGAATAATGGTACTTGTACTGACACATTGCAGCACCTCGACCTGCTTCCAACTCTTATACGGGCGACTCTCCGATATCTGGTCCCGGAAATATGTCCTTTTTGTGGGCTTTGGTATCACTTTTGTCGGACTGTTAGCCTCGTCTCTAGCCCAGACAGCCACCCAATTGATTGTCTTCCGTGCCATTACTGGCATCGGCGGTGGCGGGCTCATGTCCGTGGCACAAATGATTGTCAGCGATGTGGTGCCACTCCGCGAACGAGGTAAATATCAAGGCATTCTCGGGGCCGTGGTTGCCATTGGAAATGGCATCGGCCCTGTCATCGGGGGAGCTCTCGCTTCGATATCGCACGACTCCTGGCGATGGATCTTCCGGCTCATGCTGCCACTCACAGCCATTGCCACGTTGGCGGTGCTGTTCTTCATGCCTTTGCGAAAGGTCACTGGCGAATGGAAAGCAAAACTGAAGGCCGTCGACTTCCTTGGGGCCCTCTTAGCTCTAGGAGGTACGGCTCTGCTCATGCTCGGGCTGACTTGGGGTGGTGGCGAGTATCCCTGGAAGTCAGCGCATGTTATAGCAACCATCGTCATTGGGGTTGCTGTGTGTGTGGTGTTTATGCTATGGCAGTGGAAAGGCGCTTCATATCCTCTAGTGCCCATGCATATCTTCAAATCGCGCATTGTCAACGGCGCCTGCTTAACCATGTTCATCAACGGGTGGAACTTGGTGGTGCAGCTGTACTACATCCCGACATTCTATGAATTGGTGTTCTACTACTCGACCACTAAAGCCGCTGCCATGTTATTACCAATCACTTTGCTGCAGAGTACGTCGCATATCCCATTATCCTCCCTCCCCTGGGCATTCGTACTCACTCAACATAAGCTGTAAGCAGCACCGTCTCCGGCCTAATCGTCCACTGGATCGGCCGATATCGAGAACCTATCCTGTTCGGCTGGATCATCTGGGCCGTCGGACTCGGCCTAATCTCGACCCTCGACAAATCATCCAGTCTAGGCAAACAGGTCGGATATAGCATTCTGACTGGTATAGGCGCAGGAAACACTCTACAGCCGTAAGCTCCACCCCACCCCACTCCATTTCGACCATCCTACTGTGTACAGGCAAAACAAACGCTCACAAAACCTTAGAGCCCTAATCGCAGTCCAAGCCGGTGTCGAACGCCACGACATGGCCATCGTGACTTCATTCCGGAAGTAGGTCCAAGCCAAGCCCAACATCCCCCTTCCCCTCATCCCACCACCACTAACACCCCATCTCCTCCCCAACACAGCTTCATCCGAAACCTAGGCGGAACTCTCGGCCTCGCCATCGCCGGAACAATCATGTACGTCCAATCTTCCCCCAACCCAACACATTCAACAATTTACTCACTCACCCACCCAACCACCCACAGAACCAACCTCCTCTCCACCACAACAAGCACCCTAAACCTGACCCCGACGGAAAAACAATCCTTCCTCGCCAGCCCCAGCAACTACCTCTCCTCCCTACCAACCGAACAAGCAGAACAGGCCCGCGCCCTCCTCATCCCCGCCTATCGAAAAGCCTTCCGGATTGTGTTCACGGTGAATGCGGGCCTCGCGGCGTTGGCGTTTTTCTTGGCGCTGGGGTTGATTCCCCAGGTGGTGCTGGAACGGGCGGATGATGAGCGGTTGAAGGTGGAGGGGAGGCGGATGGTGGAGGGGGAAGAATAGTAGATCAATTGAAGGTAGGGGCGTGGGAGGAGTGGGAGGAGTGGGAGGAGTGGGAGGAGTGGGAGGAGTGGGAGGAGTGGGAGGAGTGGGAGGAG